TAAAGGTGGTAGCAAGACATACAGGTAAAGGTGGTAGCAAGACATACAGGTAAAGGTGGTAGCAAGACATACAGGTAAAGGTGGTAGCAAGACATATAGGTAAAGGTGGTAGCAAGACATACAGGTAAAGGTGGTAGCAAGACATACAGGTAAAGGTGGTAGCAAGACATACAGGTAAAGGTGGTAGCAAGACATACAGGTAAAGGTGGTAGCAAGACATACAGGTAAAGGTGGTAGCAAGACATAGGGTAAAGGTGGTAGCAAGACATAGGGTAAAGGTGGTAGCAAGACATACAGGTAAAGGTGGTAGCAAGACAAACAGGTAAAGGTGGTAGCAAGACAAACAGGTAAAGGTGGTAGCAAGACATACAGGTAAAGGTGGTAGCAAGACAAACAGGTAAAGGTGGTAGCAAGACATACAGGTAAAGGTGGTAGCAAGACATACAGGTAAAGGTGGTAGCAAGACATACAGGTAAAGGTGGTAGCAAGACAAACAGGTAAAGGTGGTAGCAAGACAAACAGGTAAAGGTGGTAGCAAGACATACAGGTAAAGGTGGTAGCAAGACAAACAGGTAAAGGTGGTAGCAAGACATACAGGTAAAGGTGGTAGCAAGACATACAGGTAAAGGTGGTAGCAAGACATACAGGTAAAGGTGGTAGCAAGACATACAGGTAAAGGTGGTAGCAAGACATGCAGGTAAAGGTGGTAGCAAGACATACAGGTAAAGGTGGTAGCAAGACATACAGGTAAAGGTGGTAGCAAGACATTCAGGTAAAGGTGGTAGCAAGACATACAGGTAAAGGTGGTAGCAAGACATACAGGTAAAGGTGGTAGCAAGACATTCAGGTAAAGGTGGTAGCAAGACATACAGGTAAAGGTGGTAGCAAGACATACAGGTAAAGGTGGTAGCAAGACATACAGGTAAAGGTGGTAGCAAGACATGCAGGTAAAGGTGGTAGCAAGACATACAGGTAAAGGTGGTAGCAAGACATACAGGTAAAGGTGGTAGCAAGACATTCAGGTAAAGGTGGTAGCAAGACATACAGGTAAAGGTGGTAGCAAGACATACAGGTAAAGGTGGTAGCAAGACATACAGGTAAAGGTGGTAGCAAGACATACAGGTAAAGGTGGTAGCAAGACATACAGGTAAAGGTGGTAGCAAGACATACAGGTAAAGGTGGTAGCAAGACATACAGGTAAAGGTGGTAGCAAGACATACAGGTAAAGGTGGTAGCAAGACATACAGGTAAAGGTGGTAGCAAGACATACAGGTAAAGGTGGTAGCAAGACATACAGGTAAAGGTGGTAGCAAGACATACAGGTAAAGGTGGTAGCAAGACATTCAGGTAAAGGTGGTAGCAAGACATACAGGTAAAGGTGGTAGCAAGACATACAGGTAAAGGTGGTAGCAAGACATACAGGTAAAGGTGGTAGCAAGACATACAGGTAAAGGTGGTAGCAAGACATACAGGTAAAGGTGGTAGCAAGACATACAGGTAAAGGTGGTAGCAAGACAAACAGGTAAAGGTGGTAGCAAGACATACAGGTAAAGGTGGTAGCAAGACAAACAGGTAAAGGTGGTAGCAAGACATACAGGTAAAGGTGGTAGCAAGACAAACAGGTAAAGGTGGTAGCAAGACATACAGGTAAAGGTGGTAGCAAGACATACAGGTAAAGGTGGTAGCAAGACATACAGGTAAAGGTGGTAGCAAGACAAACAGGTAAAGGTGGTAGCAAGACATACAGGTAAAGGTGGTAGCAAGACATACAGGTAAAGGTGGTAGCAAGACATACAGGTAAAGGTGGTAGCAAGACATTCAGGTAAAGGTGGTAGCAAGACATACAGGTAAAGGTGGTAGCAAGACATACAGGTAAAGGTGGTAGCAAGACATACAGGTAAAGGTGGTAGCAAGACATACAGGTAAAGGTGGTAGCAAGACATACAGGTAAAGGTGGTAGCAAGACATACAGGTAAAGGTGGTAGCAAGACATACAGGTAAAGGTGGTAGCAAGACATACAGGTAAAGGTGGTAGCAAGACATACAGGTAAAGGTGGTAGCAAGACATACAGGTAAAGGTGGTAGCAAGACATACAGGTAAAGGTGGTAGCAAGACATACAGGTAAAGGTGGTAGCAAGACATACAGGTAAAGGTGGTAGCAAGACATACAGGTAAAGGTGGTAGCAAGACATACAGGTAAAGGTGGTAGCAAGACATACAGGTAAAGGTGGTAGCAAGACATACAGGTAAAGGTGGTAGCAAGACATACAGGTAAAGGTGGTAGCAAGACATTCAGGTAAAGGTGGTAGCAAGACATACAGGTAAAGGTGGTAGCAAGACATACAGGTAAAGGTTGTAGCAAGACATACAGGTAAAGGTGGTAGCAAGACATACAGGTAAAGGTGGTAGCAAGACATACAGGTAAAGGTGGTAGCAAGACATTCAGGTAAAGGTGGTAGCAAGACATACAGGTAAAGGTGGTAGCAAGACATACAGGTAAAGGTGGTAGCAAGACATACAGGTAAAGGTGGTAGCAAGACATGCAGGTAAAGGTGGTAGCAAGACATACAGGTAAAGGTGGTAGCAAGACATGCAGGTAAAGGTGGTAGCAAGACATTCAGGTAAAGGTGGTAGCAAGACATACAGGTAAAGGTGGTAGCAAGACATACAGGTAAAGGTGGTAGCAAGACATACAGGTAAAGGTGGTAGCAAGACATGCAGGTAAAGGTGGTAGCAAGACATACAGGTAAAGGTGGTAGCAAGACATAGGGTAAAAGTGGTAGCAAGACATACAGGTAAAGGTGGTAGCAAGACATACAGGTAAAGGTGGTAGCAAGACATACAGGTAAAGGTGGTAGCAAGACATTCAGGTAAAGGTGGTAGCAAGACATACAGGTAAAGGTGGTAGCAAGACATACAGGTAAAGGTGGTAGCAAGACATACAGGTAAAGGTGGTAGCAAGACATGCAGGTAAAGGTGGTAGCAAGACATACAGGTAAAGGTGGTAGCAAGACATACAGGTAAAGGTGGTAGCAAGACATACAGGTAAAGGTGGTAGCAAGACATACAGGTAAAGGTGGTAGCAAGACATGCAGGTAAAGGTGGTAGCAAGACATGCAGGTAAAGGTGGTAGCAAGACATACAGGTAAAGGTGGTAGCAAGACATTCAGGTAAAGGTGGTAGCAAGACATACAGGTAAAGGTGGTAGCAAGACATACAGGTAAAGGTGGTAGCAAGACATACAGGTAAAGGTGGTAGCAAGACATGCAGGTAAAGGTGGTAGCAAGACATACAGGTAAAGGTGGTAGCAAGACATAGGGTAAAAGTGGTAGCAAGACATACAGGTAAAGGTGGTAGCAAGACATACAGGTAAAGGTGGTAGCAAGACATACAGGTAAAGGTGGTAGCAAGACATTCAGGTAAAGGTGGTAGCAAGACATACAGGTAAAGGTGGTAGCAAGACATACAGGTAAAGGTGGTAGCAAGACATACAGGTAAAGGTGGTAGCAAGACATGCAGGTAAAGGTGGTAGCAAGACATACAGGTAAAGGTGGTAGCAAGACATACAGGTAAAGGTGGTAGCAAGACATGCAGGTAAAGGTGGTAGCAAGACATACAGGTAAAGGTGGTAGCAAGACATGCAGGTAAAGGTGGTAGCAAGACATGCAGGTAAAGGTGGTAGCAAGACATGCAGGTAAAGGTGGTAGCAAGACATGCAGGTAAAGGTGGTAGCAAGACATACAGGTAAATGTGGTAGCAAGACATACAGGTAAATGTGGTAGCAAGACATGCAGGTAAAGGTGGTAGCAAGACATTCAGGTAAAGGTGGTAGCAAGACATGCAGGTAAAGGTGGTAGCAAGACATACAGGTAAAGGTGGTAGCAAGACATACAGGTAAATGTGGTAGCAAGACATACAGGTAAAGGTGGTAGCAAGACATTCAGGTAAAGGTGGTAGCAAGACATACAGGTAAAGGTGGTAGCAAGACATACAGGTAAAGGTGGTAGCAAGACATACAGGTAAAGGTGGTAGCAAGACATACAGGTAAAGGTGGTAGCAAGACATACAGGTAAAGGTGGTAGCAAGACATACAGGTAAAGGTGGTAGCAAGACATTCAGGTAAAGGTGGTAGCAAGACATTCAGGTAAAGGTGGTAGCAAGACATACAGGTAAAGGTGGTAGCAAGACATACAGGTAAAGGTGGTAGCAAGACATACAGGTAAAGGTGGTAGCAAGACATACAGGTAAAGGTGGTAGCAAGACATAGGGTAAAAGTGGTAGCAAGACATACAGGTAAAGGTGGTAGCAAGACATACAGGTAAAGGTGGTAGCAAGACATACAGGTAAAGGTGGTAGCAAGACATACAGGTAAAGGTGGTAGCAAGACATACAGGTAAAGGTGGTAGCAAGACATACAGGTAAAGGTGGTAGCAAGACATACAGGTAAAGGTGGTAGCAAGACATACAGGTAAAAGTGGTAGCAAGACATAGGGTAAAGGTGGTAGCAAGACATACAGGTAAAGGTGGTAGCAAGACATAGGGTAAAAGTGGTAGCAAGACATACAGGTAAAGGTGGTAGCAAGACATACAGGTAAAGGTGGTAGCAAGACATACAGGTAAAGGTGGTAGCAAGACATAGGGTAAAGGTGGTAGCAAGACATACAGGTAAAGGTGGTAGCAAGACATACAGGTAAAGGTGGTAGCAAGACATACAGGTAAAGGTGGTAGCAAGACATTCTGGTAAAGGTGGTAGCAAGACATACAGGTAAAGGTGGTAGCAAGACATACAGGTAAAGGTGGTAGCAAGACATACAGGTAAAGGTGGTAGCAAGACCTACTCAGATTGCTGTAACAATATAAAAATTCTTTTATTCTACTCTGTAGTATGTTAATATGATGTTTACACCTATACATGTGTGCTATAAATAACTATTTGAATACATTAAACACGCTACTTTGTTATAATAATTAAAGTAGACAATAATTTTGTATTGACTAGACCAGGTAAAGTGGAATCTGTGTTGGAGAGGGCTGGCATCCCGACATCTGTAAGCCCCAAAGCTGATCTTAGTGTTATTTTTGCAAGCCCCCAAGGTAAATGATATTACTTCAATTAGACTACATTTTTTTTACTACAAGTAGACTACACTATTTACTTTAAGTAGACAACACTATTTACTTCAAGCAGACTAATTTTTTTTTACTTCATGTAGACTACATAATTTACTTTAAGAAGACTACATTATTTACTTCAAGTAGACTACATTATTTACTTCAAGTAAACATTATTTGCTTCAAGTAGACTACAATATTTACTTCAGAGTAATTCTAATTGTTTTCAACTTATCTTTAAATTGTAGCTAGCAGTATCATTGACTTACAACTATCCCTTATCTTCTATATATATAATTCTCTACGCAGACACCACCGCATGCAAAACCTCCTTCCGTGCCTTCAGAGTTTCTTCCAGGCATCTACCCCCCCCCCCCTCGAACGAGATGGAATTTATATAGTAAAAATATACTTTTACTAGTGTTCGCCCCCCCCCGGTAAATGTTGACCGCCCCCCCCCCCCCACCCCCGAACGAGATGGAATTTATATAGTAAAAATATACTTTTACTAGTGTTCGCCCCCCCCCCCCGGTAAATGTTGACCGCCCCCCCCCCACCCCCGAACGAGATGGAATTTATATAGTAAAAATATACTTTTACTAGTGTCCGCCCCCCCCCGGTAAATGTTGACCCCCCCCTGGAAATATCAAGTGCCCCCCCCCCCCCCCCCGGAGAAAAGGGTCTGGAAGAAACACTGCGTACATTCACGAGCTACTGAGGGTGTTTTAAAGCAAAATATTTTCAGTCGCAGCATTGGCAGTGTCGAAATCACAAATTATGAATTATGAATTACTGAAAAGTAGAAAATAAAACAACTTAATAGCGGCGTATGCTATTCTTCTTTCTTTCACATTTATAATTTAACAGATGCAATTCTTGTTGGTCTTACAATAATAATATGTTTTGAAAACATAGCATCAATCGTCTAAATTAAGAAATAGTGAAGGTATTCCTAGGATATAGTTTTACGAAAAGGTAACGTCAATAGTCCATAGAAAAAATTCAGTAGAAATTCTTTGCTTGCTGTTTAAAGAAACGTTTAACTATTGATCGATAGCTTTTAACAAATATTTTATTAACAGATCAAAGCTTTTCACGATTTATCAATCTTTGAATTAACTGATTCTTTTACTCGAAACAAATTCTGTAACTATTGAACCAACTTTGTAACAAGTTGATCTAATACAGAAGAACTGTGTAAATTGTGTAACAATCAACTTTTCTAGAATCCGTCGATGTGTGTGGAAAAGCTGCTCCGATGCCGGCAGTTAATAAGTTTCAAATTAACGCAAATGGTAGGGCAGTACCAAAACGTCTGAAGGTAAGATTAGAAGGTAACAATGTTACAAGTAACTTGGAAGTAACAGACCTATAGTGTAGCAATTGTTGTCAAATAGGAAAACAATATCTCAATGTAAGGGGTTAAACAAGTTGGAAATCGCTTTAACGTAGAAATTGTAGTCGGTATTCTGATTCACATTATCACATTTTTATGCTGATTTAAATTTACTGATTATAGGAAAGTGAAGAAAGATAATTCTAATTGGCAAAGACAAAACTATAAGGCTTAAGATCGCTGAATGGCAGCGGAGCTTTGACCATATGTGTATTGACCATAGTTGTATGGACCATATGTGTATTGACCATAGGTGTATTGATCATAGGTGTATTGATCATAGATGGGTTAACCATAATTGTAATAACAATTGATTAAAATACTCTATTTTGACAGAGTTCAGACAAGATTTAGGGAAAATATAGCTGTTTAAAACAAATTCAACTGCAATTTTGAGGGGGGTTGTAGGCTGAGGTTTGACGTCAATTTAGGGGTTGGGGTTTGGCTTTTTCTGCTGACGTGTGACGGGGGGAGGGGGGAGGTAAAATCGTCAAAAAAGCGTGACGTCATTTATTGATGACCCCCTTACCGCTTGTGTTTTATAATTTCTGTCAGCAGAAAGATTTCATCTTCCAGAATGATGCAAACATGACACCCCCCCCCCCCAATTTTCTATCGGTCTGTTTAAGCGAATTAAGGGTGGTACAAATAGCACGACTATACGAATTGCACATCTCTACCCTAATACTTTTTATGTTTAGATAAATTAATGTTCAATAGCACGCAAATATACCAGTAGGATTACATCTGTAGGTCGAGACGACTTGTGTTTATATACAGGATAAATAATCATAATATTTCATCATGTCGCAACTTAAAATATAATTACACACATTTTTATCCCATGTTAATTAAATCTTTAAAATGTATGTGCCAGACACCTGTGATCAAACCTTAGCTGTGGACAAAACACCGGTGGCCAAAGACTCTCTGTAGAGAAAACACCTGTCGTCATATCCTCGCTGTAGCCAAAGACTCTCTGTAGACAAAACACCTGTCGTCATATCCCCCTGGTAGCCAAAGACTCTCTGTAGACAAAACACCTGTCGTCATATCCTCGCTGTAGCCAAAGACTCTCTGTAGACAAAACACCTGTCGTCATATCCCCCTGGTAGCCAAAGACTCTCTGTAGACAAAACACCTGTCGTCATATCCCCCTGGTATCCAAAGACTCTCTGTAGACAAAACACCTGTCGTCATATCCCCCTGGTATCCAAAGACTCTCTGTAGACAAAACACCTGTCGTCATATCCCCGCTGTAGCCAAAGACTCTCTGTAGACAAAACACCTGTCGTCATATCCCCGCTGTAGCCAAAGACTCTCTGTAGACAAAACACCTGTCGTCATATCCCCGCTGTAGCCAAAGACTCTCTGTAGACAAAACACCTGTCGTCATATCCCCTGGTAGCCAAAGACTCTCTGTAGACAAAACACCTGTCGTCATATCCACGCTGTAGCTAAAGACTCTCTGTAGACAAAACACCTGTCGTCATATCCCCGCAGTAGCCAAAGACTCTCTGTAGACAAAACACCTGTCGTCATATCCACGCTGTAGCTAAAGACTCTCTGTAGACAAAACACCTGTCGTCATATCCACGCTGTAGCTAAAGACTCTCTGTAGACAAAACACCTGTCGTCATATCCCCGCTGTAGCCAAAGACTCTCTGTAGACAAAACACCTGTCGTCATATCCCCGCTGTAGCCAAAGACTCTCTGTAGACAAAACACCTGTCGTCATATCCCCGCTGTAGCCAAAGACTCTCTGTAGACAAAACACCTGTCGTCATATCCCCTGGTAGCCAAAGACTCTCTGTAGACAAAACACCTGTCGTCATATCCACGCTGTAGCTAAAGACTCTCTGTAGACAAAACACCTGTCGTCATATCCCCGCAGTAGCCAAAGACTCTCTGTAGACAAAACACCTGTCGTCATATCCACGCTGTAGCTAAAGACTCTCTGTAGACAAAACACCTGTCGTCATATCCACGCTGTAGCTAAAGACTCTCTGTAGACAAAACACCTGTCGTCATATCCTTCTGTAGCCAAAGACTCTCTGTAGACAAAACACCTGTCGTCATATCCCCGCAGTAGCTAAAGCAACTATGACCAACACCTGCAATCACAGCTCCGCGTACCAAATATACGCTATATTCTATATCCAAGAATCTGCTATATGAGACCTACACATTCATTTTGGTTAGCATATTCTGCAATTACATTTTACCACGTGCAAGGCTGGCTGTTGTCATTAGCATAATGAGTCTCATACCTGAATAAAACACGACTTTACTCTCAGCTGAACCCACAGCGACACCAGAGGATCAGCCTATTGACTTTTGTTGAATAGACAAATATTGTCGGAACCATGAGCAGTTGTCTCTGTTCTTAAACAAAACTTTAGAAAAGGACAAATAGTTCAGATTCATGTCAAAACATACCCTGCTAATCACATGCTGGATACAATTATCTTAACGCTTCTATCTTGTAAAGCTTGGCGCAGAAATCTACCGTAACAGACCCAGCTTGAGTTGGCACATTGAGGCAGGTGTAAGTTACTCTGTGCTGATCTGGGATGTCGGACTCCTAAAAGTCAGAGGCTACTGGTCCAATGTTTCTAAAGTCGACAACAAAATTATTGGAAAGGTACGTTCTTTAGGAATAAAAGAATTACTAGAAACTGAATTCACTTAATTTAACTAAAATTGATGTTCATACAAAGGCCTCACTGATAGCTCTCGGGAACCACCTGTTACACTACCACAGGCGCTCCGAGTACGCTGTGTGTGCGCTTATTACTGTAAATGGTGCGTTCGTGTCTGTGCGCGTGCGTGCGTGCGTGTGTGCGTGTGTATATGCATGACCGAAAACAGGTGCGTGTGTATGTTATAGCATTAATTGGATGAATTTGAGACAACTTTGTTTGTATGGTTAAAATGGCCTTTTGTAGTATCTGTTATCTACTTAACCATTTCCCGTTAGCAAAAGCTCAAAGTTCTAATTTTAATTTTTTTTAAATTGGCTAGCGTTTCTAACAAAGACTTGGGTAGGTAACTGTATTTTTTAAAATAATAAAAGTAAGTTTTCTTTATAGATAAATTAAAATTCTTAACGCGCTTTTCTTTATAAATATTATGGCTTATCTTTAATGTCAATAAACATATCTTTCAACAGAGAAACATTTTATACGCACCACCCGCCAACCCATCAAAAGTCGTGAATCCAATCCTGATCGTTGTTGTCAAAGAAGTAGCCAATTCTAATGCTGCAAACATCAACTCTAAATGCAAGGATAGGGTTGCATCAGAGAAAGGAGGAGAGCACTGTCGAACTGCTGTCATGGCTTTGTTTGATAATGGGCAGAGTAAGAACAATATTGACATGCAGCGAACAACATTTTAAAATTTGATAATGGGCAGCGTAAGAACAATATTGACATGCAGCGAACAACATTTTAAAATTTGATAATGGGCAGAGTAAGAACAATATTGACATGCATGAACAACATTTTAAAATACTGCAATATAAGAGTAGCTTTTGAGCAGTTTACATTAAAAGCAGTCTTTCTTTCAGATGTTTCACTCCCGTGGTGGTGTGTGTGGTGGGGGGGGGGGGTACTTTTAATTCCGTGGGGGAGGGGCGGACGGAAAAAGTGGTCCTTATTTGAGCAATATTAACTCAATTACGTCATAGAGACTCCAGTCCAGGATCCGAACTCGAGACCTTCGGGTAAGCAGTCAGATTCAAAACTACTCGACCTCGCCTGCTCAAACACTCCAACTATTCGCAATTTTAGTCCAGGGGCTTCCATTTTAGTTTATCAAACATACAATCTTAACCTTAAACAATCTTCCAGTACGCCAGAGAACCATTTATCATTTCCCGATTTCTGAGCAGACATTGTGGGACTTCAGGCTTACTATACTGACGGCTCTTCTCTTTATGAGCAGTACAGGGCATGCATTGAAGGATATATCTGCTCTACATCATGTATCAGTAAATTCAAGGAATGTAAGTTGCAACTATAGGATTAAGTTATAATGTAAGAAATTACATGCAATAAATATATAGGCCTGTATATATATATATATATATATATATATATATATATATATATATATATATATATATATATATATATATATATATATATATATATATATATATATATATATTCTAGCCGGCCCGGCTCGAGGCTGGCATTTGAGAAAAACTTATAGACTCTGTGTGAGGGCAGTGGCTTGTGTGTTCATTATACAGCATATACCAAGTGCTGGCCAGATTTTGTGAATGAAAAAAAATTGTCTGCAAATATGGACATTTGAAATATATATATATATATATATATATATATATATATATATATATATATATATATATATATATATATATATATATATATATATAACTCTAATTCTAACCCTAGCTATAGCCACAACCATAAACACAAAAACAAACAAAAAAAAGTAAACTTAAACATAAATATGAACAACCTTATTCTTATCCTATCCGTCCCCCTTCGAAATCCATAACCTTGTCGTTATTTCTATCACTCTCCTGATCCATGACTTAAACCCATTCGTTTCCCTAATTGAGTCCCAATCCCTTTTCATTGTCCCTATTGATGATAACCATTTCTCTGTCTTTTTCCCTATTCTATTTCATTTTACTCATTACTGACCCTTTCCTACCTATATCTACACCTACATCTACACATACATGATTATTAAACATTTACATTTTCAGAATTAAAAATAAATTTAAAAAATAGACGTTTATCGTTATGCATAAGTAAATAATCCTCAATTAATGAAAGTGCATGTCAGAAAGAAGTATTGCTGTTGTAAATTTGTATTAGTCCTCACAAGACGATGATGAAAACTGTAATACTAAGCAGTAAATAACATGTCTGAGGCTATTTAAAATAAATATTTGACGTGTATTTAAATATACTAGCCGTCCAGGCCAGGTCATGCACTGACCTCTGTGAAAAACCTATCTGTAAAGGACCGTGACTTGCGTGTTTATTAAGCAGTATTGCCCGGGTTTAGGAAATATATTATTTTTCCAATTATATATATATATATATATATATATATATATATATATATATATATATATATATATATATATATATATATATATATATATATAATATGCAAATATGGACGTTTTAGGAAATAACACAAAACCTTCAACTTAACACTAACTCTAAACCTAACCCTAACCACAACCAACCACAATTAAAAACAAAAACACAAAAGCTAACGTAACGCAAACGCAAACAAACTCAAACACAAACGTAAACGCAAAAGCTTTATAAAATAGTATATTTTGAATTTGTCCAATATTTTTTTAAAACAGATGCCAGACAAGAAAAACAGAATATACGATTTATCAAGTTTGACCCAGAAACGATTGATATGTATGTCAACATCCGAACATATTCAATGTACAACCAAATGGTGTCTCCTGGGCAGTGTAGTCAAATTAGGATTGTAGCACCGTAAGCAGCTGGGCATTTTATTGTTATGCATTTAAAGAACATCAAATTACCAGGCTTATTATCTTTATTGTGAATGCATTGCTGTTGGTTATCTAATATTCAACATAAGTTATGGGCATTGTGGCATTGATGCCACATGTGTTACAACTGAGCGATCTAACATAGGTGAAAATGCTTTTAAAAATCCTATTCAAACAGTAGTGAAACAAAACTAAATGGACTGTTGACCAAAGGGAAACTGATCGTCTAGTTTAATTTTTACAGTCTCCGCCTAAACAGCACATTATATTCACAAGCTAAAATTTCACTTGATTCCTCTGTATGTTGTGCTTTTGTCGGTCGTCGTTCAATGGTCGAAATTTGAAAAAATTCAGGACCTATTTCTTTCAACCTTGACATGTAGGTTGAGACCCGATGACAATGCAATGTGACATAAAATCGACATAATTAATTATAATATATTACATTCATTTTAAAAATAAATAAATAAAGATTGGTATCTAAAGTACCAATTTTCCGTCGCTGCTAGGTAAAATACCTTTGTGTTTTGTACGCTTGTAATTGTGTTAATAATCAAGAATTTAAAATTCATATTTATCAACATCGCATTCTTGGTAATAAAAAAAATGAAAATTTTTTTTGGGGGAAAACAACCTTCGGGTATGTGTCCTTTTGGGTATTTGTCCCATTCGGGCAAGTGTCCGTTCGGGCAGTTGTCGCATTCGGCTATGTGTTCATTCGGGGAAAATGGCCTTCGGGCAAATGGCATTCGGGTAAAATATGTCTTTCGGGAAATAGTCAGATTTAATCTTTGTATTGATCTAGAAGAAAATAAAATAATGAGTAATGTAAATTTTCTATCGTTTCAATTTATTTATAGTTGTAGTCACTATCGTCGACCGCATGTTGACCTTGTGATCTATTCCCCGACGCTATGGAGTTCGTCCGTTGATAAATTTAAATAGAGTGTCACATTAGATGTGTTTGTGTCTGTTTTGTAATTTAAAAATAAATTTACGCAATTTTATATAATTTTTTTAAAACAAATATCTGTCAAATTTGATAATTTAAATTATTTAGACAAATAAGTTTAAAAAGAAAGGCTGCTTCCATCCTTTTTGCGTAATCTATTGGTTAGAATTCTTTTCGGAAAAAAACATCAATTGGATAGGGGGCTCTCGGTTTTTTCGGGAAAAAATCCGTCGGACTGTGGACTCTCGGGATTGTCTTGCATTTCTACAAATATCTTTTGGGAAACCTATATACAGTACAGTACACTAGACAGTACAGTACACTAGACAGTACAGTACACCAGACAGTACAGTACATCAGACAATACAGTACATCAGACAGTACACCAGACAGTACAGTACACCAGACAGTACAGTACACCAGACAGTACAGTACACCAGACAGTACAGTACATCAGACAATACAGTACATCAGACAGTACACCAGACAGTACAGTACACCAGACAGTACAGTACACCAGACAGTACAGTACACCAGACAGTACAGTACACTAGACAGTACAGTACTCCAGACAGTACAGTACACCAGACAGTACAGCAGACAGTACAGTACATCAAACAGTAAAGTACACCAGACAGTACAGTACACTAGACAGTACAGTACACCAGACAGTACAGTACACCAGACAGTACAGTACACCAGACAGTACAGTACACTAGACAATACAGTACATCAGACAGTACAGTACATCAGACAGTACACCAGACAGTACAGTACACCAGACAGTACAGTACACCAGAAAGTACAGTACACCAGACAGTACAGTACACTAGACAGTAAAGTACACCAGACAGTACACCAGACAGTACAGTACACCAGACAGTACAGTACATCAGACAGTACAGCAGACAGTACAGTACATCAAACAGTAAAGTACACCAGACAGTACAGTACACCAGACAGTACAGTACTCCAGACAGTACAGTACACCAGACAGTACAGCAGACAGTACAGTACATCAAACAGTAAAGTACATCAGACAGTACAGTACACCAGAAAGTACAGTACACCAGACAGTACAGTACACTAGACAGTAAAGTACACCAGACAGTACACCAGACAGTACAGTACACCAGACAGTACACCAGACAGTACACCAGACAGTACAGTAAATCAGACAGTACACCAGACAGTACACCAGACAGTACAGTACACCAGACAGTACAGTACTCCAGACAGTACAGTACACCAGACAGTACAGTACACCAGACAGTACAGTACACCAGACAGTACAGTACACCAGACAGTACAGTACATCAAACAGTAAAGTACATCAGACAGTATATATAGTACATTGCATTTCATTAAATGACCTAATCTTATAAGAAATAACATGTAAATCGTATTGTTTTGACCCGTAGTAATCAAACGAATTAAGTCGAAACATTAACTTGACTCAATTCTTTTACAGTATATTTGAATTTCGTCCCCGACCGGGTGACAATTATCAAGTTGACACTAACTATAAAGTGACAAATGATTTGTATGGTTTTGCTTTTAACTTGGATGTGGAGTTTTCTGGTGATGAAAAGACATGGACAGGTATAGTAAAAACATTTTTTACAAACATGAAAGTGGGTAAGACCTAAGGGCAATAATGACGATTCACCACAAAACATTCGTGTCTGTGTAAGTATATACTACGGCCCTATCCCGAAATTGGTAATTTCAAAAAATTGCTAATTGGCCAATACCATAACACCTTTGATCGGCCGATTACTAATAATCTTCTTAAATTTGGACATTGGCCAGCCAGTTTGCAAATTAGTTATTGGTGATCGGTGTAAAGTCGGAATACGAAGCTCATGAGCTGATTTTATGTATTAGTAGCTTTATGTGGCATTTATGCCCATTGTGTTTATTAAATTAGGTCTACCTTGACTATTATTTGCCTGTCAAAAAATATGTTGTTAGTTTTTCTAGTTGTTTTTTTTTATGTCAGTTAGTAAGGATACTATTTGTTGAAAAAAAATGGTATAAAATTGAAACTATTTTATTGTCAATTATTTACTATCAAGAAACAAACGATAGATAGAAAGTATATATTTCAACCAATGTCCTCCCTAAAGTTCTGGTCCACCCCCTGAAAACTTCGCGTGTCTCTCCCCTCCCCCCCCCCCCCTTGCAGGAGAAAAATGTCTGACCCCAACACCTGTAGTAGATGATGTAGCGTAATCAACTTAACAAAATGCTCGCAACATTAAGCAAAAGACGGTTGGAATGTGAAAATTCAATCTTGTTAACATAACATCACCTTATGGAATTTTTTAGAATTTAGTAAAGAAGTATCAAGTGAGAAAATGCATTTAGTGTATCGGATTCATTATCAAACTTATTAAATACGTGTTTTTTTTTTAAATAACTATATAGGCTATAGCAATTTATCAACTTCGAATTGTGTTAGTTATTACAATATTAAATACAAATTCATAAAGAACTTCTACCTGGTATTATACATTATCTTATTTTTATTCCGTTTAACGGTTTGCGGGCATATTATTTTCGGGCATTTATACAATTGGGATAAATGCCTTTTCTGGCATAATAGCTAGATCTACTCTATAAACAAAAAAACTTAAATGAAAATTAACAAGCAGAAACTGCACGGTCTCAACTGCACTATCAAGAAATAACAAGATCAACATTTTTAGCACTAATGTAAAATACGTATTGTTATATCACAGTTGATAAAATTAAACCAGTTCGTCAATAACAATAAACAATTTATTGTTTTCCGAATTAACTATAAATTACTTTGTGGGCCAACTATACGCTGTAGGTAAATCATATTAATTTAAACATTTAAATGCATCACAGCCAGTACTTCAATCTATAAATTGAAATATTTTTATACCAACAGACCGGTCAGTGCGATACGCAATTCTATTGGTTTCTCCTGATGGACATACTAATGTCGATGATTATGGTAATAAGCCTCAAGGGTGTTTATTTTATGCTAATTTACAACTACCGTGTAAGTATTGGTAATTATATATCACTGTAAATATTTGTTATTGTTTTAAAATATATACAACTGTGTATCAGAAGAACAGATGCATGCAAGCATTGGTATTAAATTGAATGTATTGGACCATTCCCAAGATGATAATCTACAGTTTTTATTGTTTCATTGACCGCGGCATTTGAAGAGATTTTGTGGTCAGTTCAATATAAAACAAAAGCTCTCCTTTCATACCAAAATAGGGCAGAAGAAGTAGAGTTCTTGACCTCCGCATAAGAATGGATGGTGTGGACAGCGATGTCAGCACGATACAGTCACTTTTGTTTCCCCTACTGGGGTAGTGTGGACAGCGATGTCGGCACGATACAGTCACTTTTGTTTCCCCTACTCGACTCGTGTGGACAGCGATGTCGGCACGATACAGTCACTTTTGTTTCCCCTACTGGGGTAGTGTGGACAGCGATGTCGGCACGATACAGTCACTTTTGTTTCCCCTACTCGACTCGTGTGGACAGCGATGTCGGCACGATACAGTCACTTTTGTTTCCCCTACACGACTCGTGTGGACAGCGATGTCGGCACGATACAGTCACTTTTGTTTCCCCTACTGGGGTAGTGTGGACAGCGATGTCGGCACGATACAGTCACTTTTGTTTCCCCTACTCGACTCGTGTGGACAGCGATGTCGGCACGATACAGTCACTTTTGTTTCCCCTACTGGGGTAGTGTGGACAGCGATGTCGGCACGATACAGTCACTTTTGTTTCCCCTACTCGACTCGTGTGGACAGCGATGTCAGCACGATACAGTCACTTTTGTTTCCCCTACTGGGGTAGTGTGGACAGCGATGTCGGCACGATACAGTCACTTTTGTTTCCCTACTGGGGTAGTGTGGACAGCGATGTCGGCACGATACAGTCACTTTTGTTTCCCCTACTCGACTCGTGTGGACAGCGATGTCAGCACGATACAGTCACTTTTGTTTCCCCTACTCGACTCAAGAGCTAGATCCCCATCACAGCTGGGTGGAGTAGAGTCAGGTATCAGAGCTGGGTAGTGTGAGGTACCCATCAGAGCTGGGTGGAGTAGAGTCAGGCATCAGAGCTGGGTAGTGTGAGGTACCCATCAGAGCTGGGTGGAGTAGAGTCAGGTATCAGAGCTGGGTAGTGTGAGGTACCCATCAGAGCTGTGTGGTGTAGAGTCAGGTACCCAACAGAGCAGGGTTGGCAATGCAGGATCCCATTCAAACTACCAATGTATCCCAAATCTACCAATGTATCCCAAATCTACCAATGTATCCCAAATCTACCAATGTATCCCAAATCTACCAATGTATCCCAAATCTACCAATGTATCCCAAAACTATCCCCGTTACCATTTATTGTTTCCAGACATCACAAGCACGTAATGATTTTATATTGTCTTACAATGCAGACAATGCTTCATTTGATGCGTTTAAGTCACTGCTGAATTATGCAAGAGTTCAACACGCAAAAGATATGACCTTGCACTACTACGTTCTCTTGTACTCGTACCAGAATGGAGTCACGGAAAATCCATTATGGTAAGTAAGAGGGGAATCATTATGTTGTTATACATTGACAACTATTTAAAAATAAAGTTAGAGTAAGATTAATTGTGTTGTTAGAAAAAAAGTTATTAATTATATTTTGTTTTTCTAGTTAAAAATGATATTATAATACTTGAGACTTGAGATCTTTTGTCATTTAGTTTAGTTTAGTTTAGTTTAGTTACTTTAAATAAAATTTACTTTAACAGTAATCTACAGCTATACTAGACCTCGGTACCCGCTATACGTAAATTATAGGACTATAATTTAAAATCTTGTACTTGTTTGAGAAAAATACTTTAAAAAACAGTTATTGGTCAAAACGCATTGTGCTTTTCTACACATTTAACGATATTTGTGACAAAGCAAAGAAATAACTAAACAGCCGAAAATTCGGATACATTTACAATAACATACCCTAACAATACCTATTAGAATAAAGCGGGAGTGATCTCCCCTAAACTTTCTCGTATATAATATATAAAGTTTAATTCAGAATTTATGTGACCGCAGACAACGGATACCAAAGAAATATAAGAAATAAAAAAAAATGGACTTCATCGTCAAAGTGTTATACATCTAATGTGCTAAGTGTCTAAATTAACTATTTAAAAAAAATATTGAATACGTTGTAAAACAATTTTCATTTTTCAAACTTATAGGGCTAATTGTCGGCATGTCCATCAAACAAAATTTAAAAAAAAATGTATCACCTTTCACAAAAATTCTAATTGTGTCTGAAAATTGTTTACATTTAGTCATTTATCACTCATTACTTCTCTTGATGAATTAGGAAAACACAATTTCTCCCCTTTAAAAAACATTTCAACGGGGGGTGGGGGGGATTTACCTTTTATTACTTTGTTTTGGTGTTGGTAAAAAATAATTACATAATTAGCGGGGATCGATCAAGTGCAATGTAGGGTATATGCTGATTACTAAACACACATGTCCTTTACAGATAGGTTTTTCACAATTTCTTAATGTGTTAGAAATGCATTGTGTTAGAGAAATGGATAGTTAATCATGGATAGAAATGGATAGTTAATCATGGATAGAAATGGATAGTTAATCATGGATATAAATGGATAGTTAATCATGGATAGAAATGGATAGTTAATCATGGATATAAATGGATAGTTAATCATGGATAGAAATGGATAGTTAATCATGGATATAAATGGATAGTTAATCATGGATAGAAATGGATAGTTAATCATGGATAGAAATGGATAGTTAATCATGGATACAAATGGATTGTTTCAATGCAATTTCGATTCATACATGTAGGTATATACTTAAAAGAGAAAAAAAAAGTTTCTCCAAAACGTTGTTGAAAAATATACAAAAATGAAAAACAAAAATTTTATGGTGCATTTTATGTTTCTTTCAATACATTACTTTTCAATACATCGCTTATAGTAGAGTGATCGCTTGCATTATTGTGATGTATAGCATTTATTTTCTACTTTTTAGTTCAATCAGAAAACGTGGGTTTTTAAAAACTTTTTTAATGATAATTATTAATGCAAATGAGTTTACTTAGTTCTCATATGTAGTGTCAGCTTAGAACGATGTGATAAAAAGTGGAAAATAAAACATATATAAAAACGTTATAATAACAAGTTTTTAAATGCTCTAAAAATAAGAACATTAAACAAAGTCGTTAGATCTTTTACTTACTTTAGAGATCAGAGCTTTACTTTTAAAAAGTTTGATTTATTTTCTTATTTACAGTGCATTTACAAGCTTGCGAATGAAAGGTTTTTATATCTGTTTTATTTCAAATGTCTTTCTTTGTTCAGCATTGGAGTGGATGAATATGAATGCCAAGATTCATGGGACATGAATAAACTGCCGGTAGACTTTAAGCTGAGAGGAATTAGCTGGTTTCTACTTAAAAAAGATATTTTCTCAGGTAAATACGTGCTGATCTTTTTTCTCAGAATAGTGTGTTAGTATTTGAGATAAATGATGCTTTGAACTTACTAAAAACTATCCTACTAATAAGCAATGATGTCAGATATTGCATAATTTGGCTCTTGAATTTCATGTGTCAATATATGGTTATTCAATTATGAGTCTAGGAAGGGGTTTCGGCTAGAATCATCCTGTGAAGACGCTCAATTACTTATTATAAGGGAAAAGTTTATGAAGACGTTCAATGTCAGATTATTGGGGGAAAGTTTGTGAAGACGCTTCATGTCAGATTATAGTGGGAAAGGTGGTGAAGACGTTCAATGTCAGATTATAGTGGGAAAGATGGGCTAATAAAACAGCAGTCCGCTGTCCTTGATTTTAAGGACTCGCTAACGAGAGTAAGGTGCTATTTGAGATTGTCGCTGTGGTAGATTAGTATCATCACAAGGTCAGTGAAAGGGGGGGGGGGGGGCTGACAGCACCGGGTCATACTGATTAAGTAGCAAATAAGTAAAAATGTACTGAAAAATCTATTTTTTCAGTTCTTTCGACAATGAATGAAAATTGGTCGCGTGTAATAGCATACGTGTGCGAAAATACATTCCCTGCGAAAAAATCTTTGTATGATTTCAGACATGAGTGAAGATGCTAGTTGTCCAGAAAACAGTGACCCCGAAGCAGAGCTAGACCCTCCTGAACGTTTCGAAATTTTGACCACAGAAGAAGTGGATGCTGACCCACAAGAAGAGGTAGTTATGTGTGGAACAGCTCAAGCCCCAAACGCCCCAAACGCCCCTCCAAAAAACTTTGCTACCACTATCTCTCCAATGAGGCTGATCTTGATGCTCTTTGTTGTGTTGAATATAATCATCACAAGATTAAGTGCAGCTCTATTAGGTTTTGACATTTGAATGGTATCTGCCGTTCTATTTAAAGTGTTTATTTTAAATTATTATTTGTTTTTGCCTTTTGATACAGCTTCAAGAATGGTTGATATTATGATTAAGTACAAATTCTTTGTTTTGACATTGGAATGGTATATGCCGTTCTATTTAAAGTGTTTATTTTAAATTATTATTTGTTTTTACCTTTTGATACAGCTTCATGAATGGTTGATATTATAATTAAGAACTAAGTCGTTTTCTTACCATATTGCTTGCTAAGAAATTATGATTAAGTACCAAGTCTTTGTCTTACCATTTTGCTTACTAACAAATTATAATTGAGTACTAAGTGTTTGTTTTACTATACTGCTTGCTAACAAATTATGATTAAGTACTAAGTCTATGTTTTGACATTTGAATGGTATCTGCCGGCTTATTTAAGGTTTTTTTTTTTAAATTGTGTTTACCTTTTGTTTTGATACAGCTTCATGAATGGTTGATATTATGATTAAGTACTAAGTCTTTGTTTTACCATACTGCTTGCTAACAAATTATGATTAAGTACTAAGTCTTTGTTTTACCATACTGCTTGCTAACAAATTATGATTAAGTACTAAGTCTTTGTTTTACCATACTGCTTGCTAACAAATTATGATTACGTAGTCTTTTTCTTACCATACTGCTTGCTAACAAATTATGATTATGTAGTTAGTCTTTTTCTTACCATATTGCTTGCTAACAAATTATGATTACGTTAGTCTTTTTGTTACCATATTTGCTTGCTAACAAATTTATCAAAATATAATTAGTATAGCATACCTTTTTTCATGTTAAACTGATAATGAATATAATATGTCATTTTTCTTTGGTATTAAAAGCTAGTTTTAAGTGAGATTGCTTTATTTATTTCTTTAATATTAAACAGAGACTGAGTGTTAACGGTAAAAGATAAATATTTGGTACCGTATACTATTGATAACCTGTAAAATGGATGAATTCAACCGGTAAGAGGGTCTGTGCCGCTTCTTTACCGGGAATATAGATTCTAGTATAGTTTTACTAGAGGTAATATCATTAAGGTCTGATGACTAAGGGTCAATGCAATGCCCAAAGTTTACAGCCTTATTAGAATAATAATGGGTTTTACCAGGTCCGATGACCTCTTGTCTCTGGCAAGGGTTTACGGCCGGTGAATAAAATAGCAGGTCCGATGACTACGGGTCAACTCAATGCCCGCAGTTTACGGCCTGTAGTAAAATAGAATGAAGCTGTGTATGATATAATATCTACTGCTCCGTGGCTGACACACGCGCAGGATAAAAGTAGTACAAAATGTAGGTAAATGTCTACTCAACTGCCACGTGGCATTACGTCACTGGCAGGAATAGTTTACATCAAATAAGTATTTAAATGCCCTGTGTGCTAAGACACGGACAGTGTAAAGTTTAGTTACGTAGATCAGGTAAGTTATCAACTGTCACATGGACTAAGCCACGAACAGGGTAACAGTGTACAGTAACAGTATGTAAGCAATAATGCATAACAGCAAGATAATATATATGATATTTATTGAAACTAGTTTTACAATGCTAATCAACTATGCATATGAAAATTGGTAAAGTAAACGTAAGAAATAATTAAGTAAAACCAAACCCACAAAACACGTGGAGGTCGGGCCGACGGCCCCAACGCCGCGTGCGACACCACCAGCTGAGCTCAGTCCTGGAAGAGTGCGAGATTTCTTTATTGCATTATTCTTCAGGGGGAACCGGGATTCATTTGAGGGAAAATTGAATGGTAACAGTAGTCTTTCTTGTCATGAAACGTAATATAATTGATAAATAAAAACCTTCTAGGCCACATCAGTTCATGTGGCAGATGAAGTAGAGTTCATCTAAGTGTATAATCACGGTATTTCAATGGACAAGGTAGTCAGTATAACGTGAACATGGCTTACCTTTCCACGAATCTATCGTGTGCCATGTCGGATGGCAGAAGAGAGTCATATCGATCCTATAGGTAATAGAAGAGCTGGGTTCACTCCGTCCTTCAAGGAGTAAGCGACGTTTTAAAAATATAATTTTACTTTTAATATTCTTTTTTTTGGGGGGGGGGGGGTTGTGGAGTTAATAAGAGAATGTCACCTGTAGTTCTTGTATTCTTTGTAAAGTTCGAGTCAGAATTATTGGTCTTTAATGGTCGCCTGCCAAATGTTTGCATTTACAAAATCAGAATTCAAGAGAGGCGTTAAATACATATTTTCCAGTTGTGTATTTACATATTTAATTACACACACACACACACACACACACACACATATATATATATATATATATATATAAATAGAAAAATTAGGAGAATAAGAGTGAGAGACGCAGAGGGAGGGAGGGGCTGGTGGATAGCGAGATAGGTAAAAATGGAGGGAGAAACGGAAAAACTGACTCCCTTATCAGCTTGCCAACCTTACAGTATGCCCTGTAAGTAGGTCACTGACGTCTCGTGTATCCTACTTGCCAGCTAGTATATTTCAAACCAAATGTGGATTTTTATTTTTAAATTGGTAAAAAAAAAATAGAAAAGCTACCAACGCGATTGTTTAGTTATTTAATGTCGTAAACAATGAAATTAATAGACAACAAGATGTAAGCAGGCTTAAAGACAAATATAGCCTATGTTGAATTGTGATTTTGTTTTTTTTTAACGAAACGTACTATTTTATTTATTTATTTAAATGCGTAACAAGTTGTCTTAAAAGTAGTTAAATATTAGTATAATATAAATAGTCTATGCCTACTGGTACTTAATTTGATTATATTATTAGCAAAAAAATTATAATAGTTGTATTTTGAGTTCAAGTGGTATTTTAGAATTTTGAATCGAGGCCTTGAGACAAATAGCCGCTATGTTTTATTTTGTTTTGTTGAGGGATATTAAATTTATCCCTCCCTGGCTAACGAGATTTCGTATTATAAGCGAGAAGGACCGACACTTACAAGCCCTATTACAGGCAGGATACAAGAGCACACAATTTTTGCTCAAAGCGCATCATTTAAATATTACAACTATTTCGTGGTTTACATTCAATAAAACCCTTTTGTTTGATTCGTTTGTTTTTCATGTTAGCATAAGATCCAGGAACTTCTTGTTTTTAGAATGTAAAATCCACAAGGTATGCTCCTCATTTGGCCTGCAATTCTCGGAAGTTAGCCGAGTTTTCGGTTTCACATTTAGTTGCCAAATGACAGCTTTATGGGGCTATAAAAGTAGTTATCACTGTAAACCAGCCCTAGTCACTTATAACTACACTGATGGAGTATACTACTCTGGATATTCACCGCAGCGAAAGTCAACGTGTAGTTTATTTTCAAACCGTGTATGTGTATTGTGCAAGTCGGTAGAAATATGTAAGTAAACATTTGTTTATGTTCTATCGGTGTTCATGCTTTAGTTTTAATACTCGAGTCGTTCGATATTTACTAGCCATAGGTACCCTGTTCACGTCAATTATAGGCCTATATAGTTTTAATTTTGGAAAAAAATAATTTATAATATAGTGATTAGTCAAAACGTAAGGTGCTTTACTACACGTTGAACGATATTAGTGACAAAGGAAAAGAAATAACTAAATAGCTAAAAATACGACACATTTAAAATAACATAGGTTACCAATACCCATAGAAAGACCAACTTATATACAATTTTAGTCAACACAACACCATATTAAATACATACACTAATTAAAGAGACTTAAACGATTATTGTCATTATTTAACTGCGTATAACAAGGTAGCCAGATTTTCGTGTTAGCTGGTGCGGCGAGTGAAAAAAATGGCGCCGTTATAAACTTTTATACAAAGTGATAACGCAAGATTAAGCAAACATACATATCTTAAGAATGTGTGCTTTGAAATTTCAACACTAAAATGCTTTTGAGAATGAGAGAAAATAAATAGCGTGTCCGCAAGATTTCCCAAGTACCTTGTTGCTGAGTCAGGTGTACGGGAAACTTCTTTCAGGTGTACAAAGAACGTGTTCCTACCTGAGTCAGGTGCACAAGGAACGTGTTCCTACCTGGGTCAGGTGTACAAGGAACGTGTTCCTACCTGGGTCAGGTGTACAAGGAACGTGTTCCTACCTGGGTCAGGTGTACAAGGAACGTGTTCCTACCTGGGTCAGGTGTACAAGGAACGTGTTCCTACCTGGGTCAGGTGTACAAGGAATGTGTTCCTACCTGAGTCAGGTGTACAAGGAACGTGTTCCTACCTGACTCCTACATGAGTCAGATGCACCAGAAACATGTACCTACCTAATTTATGCCTAATTGTTGATTACCGTATTATAGGGTCTAAATAGGTCTTCCGTGATAGAAAACAACGTGGGAACTGCTGTATTAGTTTTTACTATGTTTATGCAGTTTACTTTTGTTATAAAGAATACAGATTATTATTTTTATGACCCCCCCCCCCCCCACCCCTCTACATTCCGTCCACAAGTGTCCACAGTCATTAAAAGTGCCAGTTCCATAAATTGTTGATTTGTTTTAATCTCAAGGTAAATTTATCTTAGTCGCCATAGAAATTTAGCAAATTTATTACTCATTGTTGCATATTGGGATTTTTGAAAAAATTTAAATGTTAAGAGTTTACAATAGGTGGTAGAACACACGACTGTTAACCTAAAAGTCCTGAGCTCTAATCCCAGGTTCAGATCCGAGAAAACCCAACTCAGATGGGTAACCATCTCATATTTTAAAAACTAAAGGCAGATAGGCATAGATCTAGAACTGGTCAGAATGTCTCCCCATTTGCTGAGATAACTAAGCATGTAAATTCTATCTAATATCCCATATGATTGAGTCGCGAATGCGTAATTTTAAAAATGCATCTAGGGAGATTTAATCTTAAATAACTAGATCGAGATATCCTGTACCTAAAAGAATGACTTTCCGAAACCTCACTTCTAATAACAGAAATATAAAGCATCTTTCATACCTTTCTTAGTAGCGTATCGGGTAAGCAAAGACGGTCAGGCATTTTTTAAATTCATTGCTGGAGTTAGTCTATAATGTGCTTGTCTGAAAGCTTGAGAGCTAGAGCTAATTCACAATGTAAACCCTATGTCTAACATTTGTATTATTTTTATTTTATTTTTTGTTATTACCTCACTAAGCAATCCGACGCTACCTGACAAAATAACTTTCAATTGCTGAGCATTTTAAAAGAGGCATCGATCATAAACTCATTTGTCAGAATTCGGCTGCTTGGGTTTTTTTAACTCTAAAATCAACCAATTTTATAGTCATAAGCGCACGCTGTGCAGAGTATTTATTTTAGGAAGTGTCGGCTTTATGCAAACAATGTCTGGGTAGGAGATGATGAAAGCTGGTATTTATACTAAAGTTTGTACCAGTGTTTGATATTTTGAAAAAAATAAAAACAATTGAAATAAGCTTGTGATTCAAATATTAAAACATTGATTTTTTTATTGTAAATAAAACCCGACAATTTTGCTTTGATGTGAAATTTGCTATGATTGGAAGAGAAAATATTTGGGGGTCCCTAAAAATCGGCGTTAGGGCCTCGGCTATAGCCCTCTCAGCCCGTCCAATAAATCCGCCACTGCCCATAACTCGTTGTATTTTGTTCCTGCAGATACCATGGCTCTTGACGAATCCCACCACTTCATGTTGATCCCGGCTGTAAGTCATGTTCGACAGAGTAGCTATAACTGTAATGGCCTGGTCGAGTTTTAGAGCGCAGGATTGCTAACACGAAAGTTAAGAGTTCAAATCCAGAACGTGAGTCCTTAGAAACAATCTAACCAATCGTTTGCGGAGGTCGGAGAACAAGATAAACGTTACTGTATCTCCAATATATACTGCTATTTATAATTGTGACATCTTATATTGACGTGCTTACGTCCCTTATACTCATATTGGCATGCTTAAGTCCTTCAAATTTCACTATCAGTGATTGTGATAAGCCTCTCACCTGTTACCCGCCCTAACTTCTCACCTGAGGATCAAGATGATTTTCATTCTTCTTTTAGGATTACAATTCAAAGCTTATCTGGCATCTGTCGCCTCGTTAGAAACACACCACTCACCACAGCATGTGTACACCAGCATGTCTTGTACCAGTCATTATCTGTCGCCTCGTTAGAAACACACCACTCACCACAGTTGTGTACACCAGCCTGTCTTGTACCGGTCATTATCTGTCGCCTCGTTAGGAACACACCACTCACCACAGCATATGTACACCAGCATGTCTTGTACCAGACATTATCTGTCGCCTCGTAAGGAACACACCACTCATCATATCATGTGTACACCAGCATGTCTTGTACCAGTCATTTTCTGTTAACGTGGTTTTATTTTCCATAGACCTTTCCTTCTCGATGATTAGCTTCCGATTTGATTATCGCCAGAGTAAATAGGTAATGTTATGGGGTAGGAAGGGAAGGGGGGGGGGGGGGCTATAGACTTAAGCACGTATATTGAACTCATTTCTTTTGGGTTAGTAGCGCAGATTCTACTTCTAGACCAGGTCCACATCATGGCGATAAAGTGTCATGTATTTTTTTTTTATTTCAGTTGTTTATCCTAGCTGTGTTGGCCTTCCTTGAGAAGAGACAGCGACGTGTGGACATCTGTAGGGGTAGACCAGGGCTCATAGTGTAAGCAATTATTGTGTGAATAGTTTGTAGACCAGGGCTCATAGTGTAAGCAATTATTGTGTGAATAGTTTGTAGACCAGGGCTCATAGTGTAAGCAATTATTGTGTGAATAGTTTGTACACCAGGGCTCATAGTGTAAGCAATTATTGTGAGAATAGTTTGTAGACCAGGGCTCATAGTGTAAGCAATTATTGTGTGAATAGTTTGTACACCAGGGCTCATAGTGTAAGCAATTATTGTGAGAATAGTTTGTAGACCAGGGCTCATAGTGTAAGCAATTATTGTGTGAATAGTTTGTACACCAGGGCTCATAGTGTAAGCAATTATTGTGAGAATAGTTTGTAGACCCGGGCTCATAGTGTAAGCAATTATTGTGAGAATAGTTTGTAGACCCGGGCTCATAGTGTAAGCAATTATTGTGTGAATAGTTTGTACACCACGGCTCATAGTGTGAGCAATTATTGTGAGAATAGTTTGTAGACCAGGGCTCATAGTGTAAGCAATTATTGTTAGAATAGCTTGTATACCAGGGCTCATAGTGTAAGCAATTATTGTGTGAATAGTTTGTAGACCCGGGCTCATAGTGTAAGCAATTATTGTGTGAATAGTTTGTACACCACGGCTCATAGTGTGAGCAATTATTGTGTGAATAGTTTGTACACCACGGCTCATAGTGTAAGCAATTATTGTGTGAATAGTTTGTAGACCAGGGCTCATAGTGTAAGCAATTATTGTGAGAATAGCTTGTTGACAAGAGCTCTAGTATAAGAAATTATTGAGAGAATAGTTTGTAGACCCGGGCTCATAGTGTGAGCAATTATTGTGAGAATAGTTTGTAGACCCGGGCTCATAGTGTAAGCAATTATTGTTAGAATAGCTTGTATACCAGGGCTCATAGTGTAAGCAATTATTGTGAGAATAGCTTGTTGACAAGAGCTCTAGTATAAGAAATTATTGAGAGAATAGTTTGTAGACCCGGGCTCATAGTGTGAGAAATTATTGTGAGAATAGTTTGTAGACCCAGACTCATAGTGTAAGCAATTATTGTGAGAATAGTTTGTAGACCCGGGCTCATAGTGTAAGCAATTGTTGTGAGAATAGTTGGTAGAATTTGTGTTTCAGTAAGAAGGATTTGGGCAAGTATACATTGTGTTGTCTTGTTAAGGTGATTTGTGGTCATCTACAGCAGCTTTCTGCTATCCTGTATCTGGACTGTAGTCATGTACACCTGTTCTGTGGTCATGTACACCTGTTCTGTAGTCATGTACACCTGTTCTGTAGTCATGTACACCTGTTCTGTGGTCATGTACACCTGTTCTGTGGTCATGTACACCTGTTCTGTAGTCATGTACACCTGTTCTGTAGTCATGTACACCTGTTCTGTAGTCATGTACACCTGTTCTGTGGTCATGTACACCTGTTCTATGGTCATGTACACCTGTTCTGTAGTCATGTACACCTGATCTGTAGTCATGTACACCTGTTCTGTGGTCATGTACACCTGTTCTCTGGTCATGTACACCTGTTCTGTGGGCATGTACACCTGTTCTGTGGTCATGTACACCTGTTCTGTAGTCATGTACACCTGTTCTGTAGTCATGTACACCTGTTCTGTAGTCATGTACACCTGTTCTGTGGTCATGTACACCTGTTCTATGGTCATGTACACCTGTTCTGTGGTCATGTACACCTGTTCTGTGGTCATGTACACCTGTTCTGTGGGCATGTACACCTGTTCTGTGGGCATGTACACCTGTTCTGTGGTCATGTACACCTGTTCTGTGGTCATGTACACCTGTACTGTGGTCATGAAATATGTTCTGTAGTCATGTATACCTGTTCTGTGGTCATGTACACCTGTTCTGTAGTCATGTACACCTGTTCTGTAGTCATGTACACCTGTTCTGTAGTCATGTACACCTGTTCTGTGGTCATGTACACCTGTTCTCTGGTCATGTACACCTGTTATGTGGTCATGTACAACTGTTCTCTGGTCATGTATACCTGTTCTGTGGTCAAGTACACCTGTTCTGTGGTCATGTACACCTGTTCTTTAGTCATGTACACCTGTTCTGTGGTCAAGTACACCTGTTCTGTGGTCATGTACACCTGTTCTGTGGTCATGTACACCTGTTCTGTAGTCATGTACACCTGTTCTGTAGTCATGTACACCTGTTCTGTAGTCATGTACACCTGTTCTGTGGTCATGTACACCTGTTCTATGGTCATGTACACCTGTTCTGTGGTCATGTACACCTGTTCTGTGTCATGTACACCTGTTCTCTGGTCATGTATACCTGTTCTGTGGTCAAGTACACCTGTTCTGTGGTCATGTACACCTGTTCTTTAGTCATGTACACCTGTTCTGTGGTCAAGTACACCTGTTCTGTGGTCATGTACACCTGTTCTGTGGTCATGTACACCTGTTCTGTAGTCATGTACACCTGTTCTGTAGTCATGTACACCTGTTCTATAGTCATGTACACCTGTTCTGTGGTCATGTACACCTGTTCTATGGTCATGTACACCTGTTCTGTGGTCATGTACACCTGTTCTGTGGTCATGTACACCTGTTCTGTGGTCATGTACACCTGTTCTGTGGTCATGTACACCTGTTCTGTGGTCATGTACACCTGTACTGTGGTCATGTAACCTGTTCTGTAGTCATGTATACCTGTTCTGTGGTCATGTACACCTGTTCTGTGGTCATGTACACCTGTTCTGTGGTCTACCTGTATTTAAACACGGATATTAAAGTGTATAGAATTAGCGAACGTTTATATTTATAACTTTATTTAAATAATACGTGTTATTGTTTTGATGGTTGAAGTTGGAGATAATGAACGGATAATGTCCTTCACAGTGCCATCCCATGGCTAGACAGCTATGAGAACCGTTTCCCATACTCTGTAATCTTTGGTATTGTGCTGGCTTTACTCCTGCAGCTGTTAAGTGAAACCAAGAACATACCATTTTATGTCATAGGTAAGTTTAGGTCTACTTGATATCTATTTCATAGGTAAGAGTAGATCTGCATCATACTTTGTCTAAATCATAGGTCAGTTCAAATCTGCTTCTTAGCTATCTATGTGATAGGTAAGTTTAGATCTTCCTCTTACCTATGTCCTAGGTAAGTTTAGACATACTTGTCTATACCATACGTAAGGTTTAGACATACATATCTATGTCATATGTAAGTTTAGACATACCTATCTATGTCATAGGCAAGTTTAGACCTGCTTTGAAAACAAACTAATTACGTCAAAGTCTGTCCAATGAAATAAAACCTAAGCTATCACGTGACTACCTAGACCTTGCCATATCTCTTCCAGCTCTGTACCTTCAAGCCCAAGCCTTAGAAGTCTGTCTGCTGTGTTTTCCATTCTTTGCCTGCATCTCCAGCACCTACAGGGCGCTTGGTGCCGTCTTGTGTGTCGTCTACTCAATTATCTGGTCAGTCTAAAGTTCGTAGTAATAGAAATGTGATATACCATAGTAGAGAAAGGGTTGAAGTAAAAATACGAGAGAAATAATGCTGTTAGTTGAAGAATTTTCGTTTCATCCAAGCCAATATGTAAAATAATTGGAAAAAGCACTTCTAGTGTAGACAGGCTACAGGAATTTTTTAAATTAATTTTTTTAAATATTGCTGATTTGTCAAAAAAATATATATTTAACTCGATTCCTCTGTCCGGCATGGGCCGAAACATGTGAGCGAAATGTTGACAATTTCTACCGGGCTGATTTCTTTCAAACATTAGCGAAAACTATTACACACAGAGTATCCCACCCAGGGATAGAAATGGTCATAATTATGTGTATATATATATATATATATATATATATATATATATATATATATATATATATATATATATATATATACATGTGAGTGTGAATGTATATTTGTGTGTGTGTGTTTGCGTGTTTGAATATTTTTAAACCCCTCACTTCGATAACAGGATCCTATGTACGTCAATGTTTACTTATGTATACTTTTTAATTGTAATTTATAAGAGCCCTTCGAAACATTGAATACGTAATACAATGACAACTCTGTTTAGTAGCATATTACCTTTCTAATAAGAAATTTATGTTTTTGTGAGTGGGAAGGGAAGGATTGACATTTCATGAAGATTTAATACAATAAGGAAACAGGCCGTAGGAATTGGACCAAATTACGTGACGTCATTTTTTGGACAACTCGAAAACTTACAGCAAAAGTTTATTTTTATTTTTTGTAGGTCATTTGTTTTCATTGGGAAGCCTTTAATCCAGGTAAGTAGATTAGATTGCATACAGGTTGATTCGGATGCAATGTTAATATAGAAACACATTCATAAAATGAGCAATTATTTTTTATTGTAATTTTTTTTTAAATTGCCGGTGTATTAGATGACAGATGCTGAGTACAACAATACAACAGCTCTCGTTATTGTAACTGAAGTATCGCCGCTACTGTGTCACGTGGCTTTGATTGTGTACTGCTTGTACATTGTGTACAGATGTGTACACACAAAAAACTATTACACAAAGGTTGGTCACTCTTCGCTTTATATGGTCTTTATGGATCAAATTTTGCTTTATAATATCACTAGCCGTCCTGGCAAGGCCCTACACTGGCCTATGTGAAAAACTATTAGTAAGGGACCATGACTTGTGTATTTATAAAGCAGCAGATACCTTGCTTTGAGCGGGTTTAGGAAATATATTACTTTTCGAAATAATCCTATCCACAACCAACCAAAACCAAAACACACAAAAAACGCAAACATAACACAAACGAAAACACAAAGGAAAACACAAACACAAACACAAACGCAAACACAAAGAAAACACAAACAAAAAAAGCAAACGCAAACACAAACACAAATGCAAACACAAAGACTAACACAAAAGGAAACAGAAACATAACGAAAACACAAACCCAACCACAAACACAAACACAAAGAAAACACAAACACAAACAAAAAGCTAACACAATCGAAAACCCAAACGAAAACAAAAACGTAAACACAAACACAACATAAATAGAAACACAAACAATTACTCAAAATAATTCAAAAGTAAACGCGAACATAAACACAAACTTAAATGCAAACATAAACGCATATTGCTCACAGTCTAGTCCGGGGTGCCTAATCGCATTTGCCGGGCGCCGGCGGAACCGCCTGATTCAACTTATTAAACTATAATACCCCAAATTATCCATAGTCTTTTGCACTCACTTAAACGAAAGTAGGAGCCATAGCACTCACGGGAAGGCCCGCCGCGCCAAATAGCACTCTGTAGGGGCGCCAGATGACGCCCTGGATTTGATTTAGTGAAGGACTTTAGTTACCTTTCTTATCCATAGTTTATCGCACTGTATAAAACGAACGTATGCACCATAGCGCTTACAGGATTTCCCAGGGTTCCAAATCGAACCCTGACGGGGCGCCGGCGGACGTGACTGATTCAATTTAGTAATCGACTATAATACCCCCATCTTGTCCGCAAATCGAAAGATAGACGTAAACATTACGTTCAGTGTATAAATAAACAAAATGTAGTATTTAAAATATCCGTGTTTTACCTACCACAGTGCACTTTATCAATACATGCTAATTTATATAATTATTTTCTCTCACAAAAACTAATTAAAAAGTACTTTTCCCCGATGTAATGTTTTTTTTTAAAGGGAAGTAATTGTTTTACCGTGATCTTTCAAGGGAAGTAATTTGCAATAAAGGAACTAAAGGAAGTAATTTCATGCGCAATTTAATTTTTTGTTAATGGTGATATATTTACTTTAATTATTTTTTTTCTAAATGATTTTGATTAAAATGTTAAGTTTGGAAAATGAAACCTGTTTTACAAAACTATCGAAATTAATTTTCATAATCATACAGTTACATAATAAACGCTTCAAGAGTATTACACAATGGCGATCAATTCGATTTCTTTTACTCAATGTATGTCTGACGCCCGCCCAGAGGCGTAGCGACCCTTCCCGGCGCCCGGGGCGAACTTTCAATTTGGCGCCCCCCCCCCCCGCTTATATATATATATGTGTGTGTGTGTGTGTGTGTGTGTATAATTATGTGTGTGTGATAGTGTGTTTATATATAAGCTTGTGTGTGGGTAAGAGTGTATTTGTGTGTGTAAGCGTGTGTGTAAGCGTGTATGCTACAGTCCGGACAAGGTTTAATAATTACATTGTATGATTTTCATTCCTTAAAACTTTACGACAATTTAATTCCCATTAAGATGCGTTTAACTTTTTTTGCGAAAGATTAGTAATGTCAGTAAAAAAAAATAAGCCTGATCTGTGTTAGAGGGTAGTTTGTAGCTAACGCTAATATGTTTAGACCAGCCTTTTATGTTCTAGTTTTGAACGATCTCTGTTGTGATATGGTACATATTGGATTCGAAGTTTGTTAGAGTAAGGACACACAAGTGACATACAAGAAGAAGTTATCAGAAATATTTATTGTTCACATTGGAATACGACATGGGTATTTCGTTGATTGGTTGATGGTATGACAAAACAAGCTAGAGAAAACAAACTGGAATCCAACGGATGTTAACAGCTCGTAGTCTTGGATTTCGCAGATTTGCCCTGCCTTCTCGCACACAGTTTCTTCCAGGCATCTTTTCGGGGGGGCGAAGCCCCCCGGAAAAATTTTTACGCCCCCCCCGAACGAAATGAAATTTATATAATTTATATATAGAAAATATATACTTTTAACAGTGTCCGCCCCCCCCCCGAAGAAAGTTTACCGCCTCCCCCCTCCCCCCGAAGATTTCAAGTGCCCCCCCGGAGAAAAAAGTCTGGAAGAAACACTGATCAAAAGTATCTGATCTCTCACGTTGAAGTTGAGAGAATCGTAAGAATCTTACAAAGAACTAGTCGCGTCTTTTTTTTTAACAAAACTGGCTATTGAAATTGTACATTACGCGTTAATACACTTGGTTTCTTTACTAAGTGTTAAGAGAGTTATCTACTCACCAATCCAGTACAAATACTTGCGATTTTTGTTAGCGAAAAAAGCGCCCCCCCCCCCCCACCCCCACACACACTCATCACAACCATCTTGGACAAAGTTTGTAGAGCGGTTTTTAACGTAACTAACTTTTTTTTAAAAAATGTTACACAATTATACAATGCACAGTACAATTCGTTTCTTTCTGAGAGCTAAAGGTTGTTTACTCAGAATCCTGTGTAATTTTGCTATTTTATTTAGCCTAAAAGCGCCCCCCTGCACCATCTTGATAAAAGTCACTAACGTATTTTACAGTTCAACAATCGTACAATACGTTTTAATACAATTGGTTTCTTTTAATAGTGGTAACGTTTATCGACTCAACAATCTAGTGTAAATTCTTCCGTTTTAAGTCTCGAAAAAGCGCCCCCCCCCCCCCATCTAGGAAAAGCTTCAAAGCGGTTTTGCCGGTCACTGTTTCTTAAGAGTATATGTTTTACATTAAGAAATCAAGATAGAAAACAGTTAAATCAGTATGTAAATGCGTGTAGCCATTATATTTCTTAACTTAGACAGTTTATAATTCAAAACTGCAGCATAAAATCAGCTTTAAAAAATTTTTCCCACCCCTTTTGGCGCCCCCATAGGGTCGGCGCCCGGGGCGGCCGCCCCCCCCCCCCCGCCCCCCCCTAGCTACGCCTCTGCGCCCGCCACATATAGAAACACAGAGCCCGTTTTAACTTCATATATTAGATTCAAGTGTCTTTAGGGGTCACATGTACTTTATATCATCATTTTACGATTCACGGCCTGTGGGGGAAGGATGGGTGTAAGATTACTGTACCTGACGACCTTGTGACCTTGAAAGTCATCTGTCCATTTCTACTCGCCAGAGACAATTGGGGGACGCCAAACCCCACCAGATGGCGCACGTGCAGTGGGTGTTACGTAAGTCAAAAGACAAGGCGGTGTTGTGTTATGGGTCAGGGGAGACTTTCGTATCACACATGTAAGTCAAGGTAGTGTTATGGAGACGTTCGTATCACACATGTAAGTCTAGTCATGTTAGTGTTATGTTATGGGCCAGGAGAAACATTCGTATCACACATGTAAGTCTAGTCATGTTAGTGTTATGTTATGGGCCAGGAGAAACATTCGTATCACACATGTAAGTCTAGTCATGGTAGTGTTATGTTATGGGCCAGGAGAAACATTCGTATCACACATGTAAGTCTAGTCATGTTAGTGTTATGTTATGGGCCAGGAGAAACATTCGTATCACACATGTAAGTCTAGTCATGGTAGTGTTATGTTATGGGCCAGGAGAAACATTCGTATCACACATGTAAGTCAAGGTAGTGTTATGTTATGGGCCAGGGGAAACATTCGTATCACACATGTAAGTCAAGGTAGTGTTATGGAGACGTTCGTATCACACATGTAAGTCTAGTCAAGGTAGTGTTGTGTTATAGACCAGGAGAAACGTTCGTATCACACATGTAAGTCTAGACAAGGTAGTGTTGTGTTATAGACCAGGAGAAACATTCGTATCACACATGTAAGTCAAGGTAGTGTTATGTTATGGGCCAGGAGAAACGTTCGTATCACACATGTAAGTCTAGTCATGTTAGTGTTATGTTATGGGCCAGGAGAAACATTCGTATCACACATGTAAGTCTAGTCAAGGTAGTGTTGTGTTATGGGCCAGGAGAAACGTTCGTATCACACATGTAAGTCTAGTCATGTTAGTGTTATGTTATGGGCCAGGAGAAACATTCGTATCACACATGTAAGTCTAGTCAAGGTAGTGTTGTGTTATGGGCCAGGAGAAACATTCGTATCACACATGTAAGTCTAGTCATGGTAGTGTTATGTTATGGGCCAGGAGAAACGTTCGTATCACACATGTAAGTCAAGGTAGTGTTATGTTATGGGCCAGGAGAAACATTCGTATCACACATGTAAGTCTAGTCAAGTTAGTGTTATGTTATGGGCCAGGTGAGCAGTACGTATCTCACAATTAAGTGGTTTAAAGTTTTACAATGTACGGAGTATGTATACTTGTTCAAGTACATATATACGAAAATATAAGGTACACCTTTTCATATAAAATGTATCAACGGATGTATGTGATATTATTGTTCCATTCATTGCAGGAGAAAGAGTAAACGACTTCGTCTATTCACAAGTCTGCCATTTTTTAAATACCCCACAAAGATCTGCGCACTGGCCTTCTTCCAGTTATGTGTTATATATCTGGTACGTCACACCCATATATATATGTAAAAACAAGTTAATTAAAAAAGTCTAGTGACATTTATGCGCAATTTCCTCATGTTATCTAAAAATAGCTCTGACGTATAATGCTGGGGTGCGTTCAAGCTAGAAGAACGATCGGTTTGTAGGTGTTTATGTAATTTTAAAATTTGTGACCGAACGAGAGGATATTTTTGAAAACTTTCTTCGGCAATATTGTTCTAAATTATGGCAGGAATCGATTGGTACATGTTTCAAGTCGCTAAGTGGTCTGGTTGCCGAGATATGGGCCAAAAACTGATTTTCTTCGAGGTTTTTTGGCTTTTCCGGGAAATCCATGAAAGAAACCCGGAATTTTTATGGCCTATGTTCATCCTCGTAGCTTGCTTAACATAATTGCTTTTGGAACTAGTCATCGATATTGCTTCGTTGAGGAGAAGATACGACTTAAAGCCCGGACACACATTCATACATCCATACATTCATTCATTCATCCATCCATTCCCAGAAATGACGAGTTAATAAACGCAATTCTCCAGAATGGAAATTGCGCTAAAAATTATACAGATTGTATATGAATTGGCCAGCTTTATTTACGAATATCATGAAAAGATGTCCGATATTAAAGATAAGCCCTTGTTTTCGTTTATTTAGTTGTATTGTCATATTTATCTATATATATAATTCTCTTCTGGGATCAGTTAGAAAACAAGCTGCAAGCGCCTCCTTGCAGTCCCCTCTCTTTCTCTCTATCACTATCACTATCACTACCACCCCCACCCCACCCCCACATTGTCTGGTGAGCTGTGGTCACGCTGTTTACATTTTACAATCATAGAGACGGGTTTGGTGACGGCTATTAGGGGCAGATAATTTAGTTTGAAACGATTTTAAACTTAGAGGAGGTAACCAAGAGGAGGCTGCTTTCACGTGGGGGGGGGGGGGTTTAGTGTTTTTAAGCAAATATTTTCAGTGGCAGCATTGGTAATGTCGAATTCACAAATTATAAATTACTGAAAAGTAGAAAAAAAAAACTAAATAGCGGCGTATGATACGCAGCGGGTCGGCTCGTCAACAATATTTGAAATCATTTTATTTTGTAATTATTATATAAGTACTTGTTTTTACGCATGTCGTTTTGAAGTTTATTTGTCTGATAAGCTGTGAATATTGGAGCAGATGATAAGATAGGAAGTAGCCTACACATTAAAGTTGTTTATAGGAGACACAAGCACAGAGGAAATCAAAGTCTCCGTGTCCTAAATCAATAACACAAAAACATTGATAAAATAAAGGAATGGAACTCGACAAGGACGAAAAAGCCACCGCCCAGCCAACCTTTACTCACATGTTCTTAAATAAAATCTATAAGTCGACTTCTAATTTAAACTTTTCAAAACTCATTCTCTAGTCAAGTAACCTACATAAATATTTAAACGCCCTAAAATATTAAGGGGAGGCAAATGTAGTTCATAATTAGTACCGTCTGTTTTAAGCAAGAATGAACGCTAAAATTCTATTCCGACAGTTCTTATTGTTAAACTTGTGTTTACTTATTAATTCGTGCCTTTTAAAAATCAATTACAACTTGAATTGAATATATGGTAATGCTAATTTTTTGTATTTTTGATTATTTTCTATTTTCACAGATCACATTAGTGTTTATTTTTTTGATTGTGAGTGTGAATTCACCATTTTTGAATTTTCTAAGTGAACTTTTCCAAACGAAACTTTTTAAAGACCAAGAAATCATCCTGAAGTGTAAGAATGCAAACAATTGTATTCCATTGTTAGATTAGGTCGATACTATCCCACTTCAGTTAAATACACGAGAAATTGCAGTTTGTATATTTGTTTCGCAATATTTTTACAATCTTGTATATTATTATGAAGTATAGGAGGAAATTATATAGTCTCCTTGCCTTTACGGGTATACTAAATTTTCAATAAAAGTATTTCCAATTTATTTTATTCCACTGCAAAAATATAATTAGGACAAAACTGATTTATGGCATGAATTAATTGTTTCAAATCATTTGGCAATTCATTTAACTGCGAACGAAATGTTCAAAATTGTGCCACTGTGGCAAGCCAACAAGTTGTATTTTACTTTCACTCGCTTGCTAATCACTGTCACCTCTTAGTGTTTTTTTTTTACTTTATTAATTTACAATGGATTATTACATTACAAAAGTTATGTAATTTTGAAACATAACATTTTAAATAACGTTTAGAAAAATAAACATAAACAGTGAGTGATCTCCCCTAAACGTTCTCGAATATTCTTATATAAAACAACGGGGGAAGGCAACCCGGGATATAGACATGATTTTTAATCCATTTTTAATTTACTTTTTAAAATACAATAGAATCTCGTTTGGGAAAAAATCACACCAAACAATATGTGTATAATAGTGCAGAATAATATTTGTACTTTTTAATTCACATGCGTTTTTTGAGAAATCGGAAATAGCTCAAGTTTTAGAGACCCGCAAATTTGATAAACTAGCGATAATCAATTTTAAATTCCTGCTAAATTGCTCATTCTACTAGCTAAATATAAGTTTGGAACACGGGTAGTAAATTTTATTAAGTATTCAATCAATAATGTAAGCGGAAAGTAAACAGCACAATGAAATTAGCAGAATAGATAATATGTTACTATGGACTTGAAGCGAATAAAAACGGTTATCTGGTTTTATTGAAAGAAATTACAAAAAGCCTCAAACAGTTAAGTATGTATATATAAATGTATATATATATATATATATATATATATATATATATATATATATATAAATATATATATGTATATATATAAATATAATCACTAAATCAGTCATTAAAAGGTTATGTTACTTAGCTACGCCAGTGTTATGAACTAGAAATTTTTTTAATTTAACAGTATCTGAGAAAATTGATAACCTAATTGTGCATTAAAACAAAATATTTCTTCATTTTTAGCATCAATGGCTGCATCTTTAGTAGTAACAGACATAATTACGGTACTACATATCTTTATGACACTTAGAAACTACAGGTAAGCTTGTGTCTTGTGTTTTGTTGAGATTGGTGGGGGCTTTGATTGGTCATGTGTTAAAGGATGTATTTGGCTTAGTTTTCTGAAATTTGTCTGAAACTTTACCAAACTGTATTTTGCAGATACCACACACTAAAACTTTACCAAGGAGAAATCCACAACTTGCAGCAACCCTATATCTCCACAACTGAGGCTCTGGTAGGTTTCTCGTTAAAAATGTATTCAATTAAGCTTTGGGTTAATTACATTTGACTTTGGGTCATTTGTTTTCCGAAAAAAATTCAAATAAGTGCAAGTCTTTCTCAAATCTACTTGAAACTCCGCGTGCGAAGCCAGTAAGAGAGTCAAAAGAGAGAGTTTTTTGGGTTGTATCCCCTTTTATGCATAATTGGCGGTGTGTCACGTGGGCAATCTAGCCAAATAGAGAAGAGCCGGTGAGGGGGACGAAATATAAAAATGTACGTAGCTGTTTGGGGGGGGGGGGTAATAGACAATAGTGCATGTTGAGGGCGGTGGAAGAACAAAATGGAGGTAGGCCTAAACGGTTTTCCGTCACACTTGTCTACAACACTTTCTCAAACTTATATGAAACTTGTCTCCAGCATCAAAACATGCGCTTTGCAGGTAACCAGCTCGCCTTCATGCTCTGGGGTGAGTCTATTCAAGTCTATTCTAAGTCTATTCAAGTCTATTATAAGACTACGAGCCAAACCGCGGCGTGTCATACGCCGCTATTTAGTTGTTTTATTTTCTACTTTTCAGTAATTCATAATTTGTGAATTCAACAGTACCAATGCTGCCAATAAAAATATTTGCTTTAAAACACTATCAGTACCTCGTTAAGGTCGATAACCCTCACTCCCTCCTTTCCCCCAACCTTTTTCTATTTTAAGTTTTAATTTAAGTCTATTTTTTGTAAGTCTTTTCTAGTTGTATTCTGAGTCTATTTTAAATCTATTTTAAGTCTATTCTAAGTATATTCTATTCTAAGTCTAGTCTAATCTAAGTCCATTCTAAGTCTATTCTAAATTTATTTTATTATATAAATTACTAGTTTTAATCTGCTGTTTGTATCTATAGATGCAAAGGCATGCAGGCTTTTTTCCATAAATTAATCAAGCAGATCAATACATAATTTTTAATTAATTAATTGCTGGAGTTATTAACAGTTTTTTTTGTATAGTAACATCAAAAATATTAAACTATTGTAAAAGTAAAAATAATTTCAGGTATGATCCTATTGTTTGTCATCTTTACCTTGACCACATTGGCCGTAGCAGAAATTATCTACTATATTAAAAAAAAGGACCTGTGGGCCGAGAAAGTAAAGCAATTTTTCATTGCTTTGTGGTAAGAGGATTTTTGATTGCTGAAATCTAAAATTAAGAAATATAATTTCGAACACCATCTAGAATATTAAGTTCTGATATTCAAGCATATAACTTATTAAAAGCGAAATTAAATTTAATTGAGTTTATAAAATAGATGATTAATTTCATTACCATTAAGAGATATTATAATACCGTATTAGATGTTTATTTTACCTTATAATTCATACAGTTTCCCATTGACAATGTTGGTGTTGAACTACATCCAACGTTTTGTCTGTCGACGTTTTTTACTGCAGGGGAAAATCAGTACCACAGACAAACATTCACCTCTCAATGTCAACAACAGGTAACTCCAAACTAACCTACAGCTACAGGTGTATTACGACAGGTAACTCCACCCTTACCTACAGTTACAGGTGTATTACGACAGGTAACTCCACCCTTACCTACAGTTACATGTGTATTACGACAGGTAACTCCACCCTTACCTACAGTTACAGGTGTATTACGACAGGTAACTCCAACCTTACCTACAGGTGTATTACGACAGGTAACTCCACCCTTACCTACAGGTGTATTACGACAGGTAACTCCAACCTTACCTACAGTTACAGGTGTATTACGACAGGTAACTCCAAACTTACCTACAGGTACAGGTGTATTACGACAGGTAACTCCACCCTTACCTACAGGTGTATTACGACAGGTAACTCCACACAAACAGTTACAGGTGTATTACGACAGGTAACTCCACCCTTACTTACAGGTGTATTACGACAGGTAACTCCACCCTAACCTACAGGTGTATTACGACAGGTAACTCCACACTAACCTAAAGTTACAGGTGTATTACGACAGGTAACTCCACACTAACCTAACGTTACAGGTGTATTACGACAGGTAACTCCACCCTAACCTACAGGTACACATGTATTGCCATAGGTAACTCCACCCAAAACAGTTACAGGTGTATTACGACAGGTAACTCCACACAAACAGTTACAGGTGTATTACGACAGGTAACTCCACACAAACAGGTACAGGTGTATTACGACAGGTAACTCCACCCAAAACAGTTACAGGTGTATTACGACAGGTAACTCCACACAAACAGTTACAGGTGTATTACGACAGGTAACTCCACCCTTACCTACGGGTGTATTACGACAGGTAACTCCACCCTTACCTACGGGTGTATTACGACAGGTAACTCCACACTAACCTAAAGTTACAGGTGTATTACGACAGGTAACTCCACCCTAACCTACAGGTACACATGTATTGCCATAGGTAACTCCACCCAAAACAGTTACAGGTATAGAATGACAGATAAGTCCACCCTAACAGTTACAGGTGTATTGCGACAGGTAACTCGAAGCCAAGCGAGTTAATTAATTAAATCTACTTGTACGTCACTCTTTTTCACATTTTTAATATCAATTTGGAGATATATGACAGCTAATTCATCACAGAATGTATAATGTATTTCATACGCTTATTTTTTTTAACCACAGAAAATTTTACGAGCTGTTTCACTACTACAGCCTGTTTTCAAACTTTGGTATCGGGCTGTTCAGCTGTTTGAGGAGAGTTCTGTGGTCAGCAGCACTGGGTGCCATGTCTATGGGGCGTCTAGACCGGAGCATCTTCCCCAGAGATATGCTCAGCTACGACAGTGGTCAGTTCTCTCTCATTTAGAATGTCTTCTGTCATTTAGATCTGAAAGTCTTGTCATTTAGACATGAAAGTCTTCTGTATTGAGTCTCATTTATTGAAATATGTTAAGTTAATGGTGACTATTTTCATAATTTTCTTAAGGATACTTGGCGTATGTCTCTATGTTGTATGTAGACAACGCCCACAACAATCCCAGCATGCGTGTCTTCATTCATCTCATCAATGTGAACAGGAAGTCAAGGTCACCAACTTCTGAGACAAGGTACTGGGTTCTTTGTCTTTGCTACATACAACATCAGATGCAAATATTGCTCTTGTTTCTAAGGGATTATTTTAAAATGTTTTTAACACTTTTATTTTACTTTTTTTATCCACATTTAAAGTCAGTTACCCCCTGTTCTAGCATCTGATGTTAGTCAGGATGGAGCAACAGTTTGTGGTACTAAATTTTAATTACCTATTATAATAATCCATACCTTTTTAAGATGTCTTTTTAATTTATTATATATATATATATATATATATATATATATATAAAACATGTCTGTATAGAAATATCAAGTGTCTCCCTTGAAGAAGACAAAAAAACACGACTAGCCAGGATCAGATGGTTTCTGGCCTACACCCTGTTCCACAACCCCCAGCTGAGAGGGTTAAGGAAAAACAAATTGACAAAATCTCTGCTGGTGACCAATGGACTGACCCAGTTCCCTGATACATCGGCTGCTGCCAGATATAACTTACAAGATCTGGGTGGGGAAATATCACAAGACACCAACTTGTCTGCTGTCTAGTGTATAAAACAAAACTGTGACAATGACTGACTGGAGGATAAACATTTTCAAAAAATGAAACTAAAAATTGTTACATAATTTTTTTACAAAACTATTCCAATTTTAATTTGTTTTTACTTTTTAAATTTATATACATAATTTACTTTTTTTTAGAAACCCATGATTATGTTATTTTACAACTATATAAAGCTATGGGGAAGGCGTGGCCTAAGGGCAGCGCTAGACTTTAGCGTCTCGAGTTCGAATCAGGGTTCAAGTCAATAGCACGTCCCTGAGCGCACCCAGCACTAATAGATACCCAACTCACGCAGGGGAAAGTAAATGCGGCAGGGAATAGTGCCTAGATCACAGATACAGGTGAACTCTACTTCATGGACCGTCAGGTTCGAAAAGTGAATTTTCCTATTTTATACAGCTTCATATTTTAGGTTGAAATAAAACTTTTGATACGCCGCATTGTGATGTTCGATGGTTTATTTTTTGCATACTTTGTAATAATGTGATCATGAGTAGTTGTATAATTGTGTGTCGCCTTCTAAAGCTTCAACAACGTATATCATGCCATACATTAGCTACAATCGTGTTTTAGACTATTCTAAAAACAAATATCTGTCCTTATCGTTTACCATGTTCCTATATGTTACTAAGTGCCAATCTTTAGAAGTTTGCCAGTCTTAGGACTGTAGTACGCTGCATACCTACCCTCTGTCCCATAACGCCCAATCTATAATAATGTCCACTCTAGCAAGAAACTATTATCTCTTACTAGTCAAAATATCTGGAGTATCTGTCCACGATTGTTAGTATTGCAGCCTTGCTGTTTCTGTATGCTAGTACTCTAAACATAGATACAGAATACTGGGCATACAAACACCCTATAATATCTTACATGTCATTTAGTTGAATGACATGACATAGTTGAAGCAGACAGTTTATGTCAACATACGGAAAGTAGTAATAATACAAACAGTAAAAATAAATGATTCCCCATTACTTTAACTCTAAACAAAGTATAAATGTTGCCAATGAATGGTAAAAAGGTAACAATATGAAAGTGGCCTAAAGTATTCAGATAGGGAGATACAAAAATGTTGTCCATAAATTTACAACATGATTCGGTTGTTAGCAGTACTCGGTTTCTTTAATAAAGTTTTAATTTTTTTACACATAATGCAAAATAACGCAAGTTTTGAGAATTTTTTTGAAATTTGTTAATAATGAGATATGGCAGGGATTTGTGTAAGGTTTTAGTGTCCTTATCGAGGTGTTGGGGGCCTCAACAATAAAGTGTGCACGGCGGTCACGCATGATTGACCTAAGTTACATAATACAGGTGATGTGAGACAGCCGTGTTCTGTTGGCGTCATTCTTCTGGAACATTCAGGTGAATGAACACACAGGTAGCGGTAAGTTCCAGGACAGATGACAGCTAGCAATAAGGGACATCCGACACAAATCCAGTAAGTTAAAGCTATTTTATAATGAGATCCATCAATTCTATGGGAAGGCGTTGTCTAGAGGTAGAGAACTAGAAAAGAAAAAAATATTTTAAAATCCCCAGATAAATTAAAATGGTATTTTTTTCTTGTTTCTTAGCTGGGAAAGAAAGTATGTTCGTACACTTTTTATATAGCAAATACAATTAATTAAGAATGTGTGCGTAGTAATATATAATATTTTTATTTTTCTTTTTGTTTAGATATGCATTGTTTATCAACATTTAAAATTCAAATTGATTATAAATAATTATTTTGTAACATTTTTCGGGCAAACGACTTACGGGCAAGTGTCCATTCGGACATTTGTCACATTCGGGCAAATAACCATTCGGGAAATCGGCCTTCTGGGGCAAACGGTATTCGGCAAACGGCATTCGGAAAACGGCATTCGGCAAACGGCATTCGGCAAACGGCATTCGGAAAACGGCATTCGGCAAACGGCATTCGGCAAACGGCATTCGGCAAACGGCATTCGGCAAATGTCTTTCGGGACTTTGTTGTACACCCAGATAGAACCTACAACCCCAGGGATTTGGGGGTCAGTCTCGAGGGTTCGGCGGAGATCAAGACACCCACCCGACTCCACTGATTTACGATCGAGTACAATCGAATTTCGTCAGTGCAGACGATAAATTTAATAGAGTTTGGTGAATGTGCATATGAAACTAGTGGGGCTCTGTATCTCCATTAAGCTCTGGTCTCCAACAAAGTTCAACTGTGGTTTTTAAAAAACTTAACAGCAACCTACAAAACCAGTGACCTTCAATTTTAACCCCATATTTCCTGCAAGATTTAGTTAAACGATATTCACTGAACCGTGTAGGTATCAAGTATCAAGTCCCGCATTTCATGGTTTGAATTTTTTTTTAAATTTTAGACTGCTATAGCTGGGTTTTTTTTCGGAGCTGAAGTATTTTATCTCGCCTGTTGTTTTAAAAAAATACATTTTTTTATCACCGCAGGTACCATGCAAGATTACCACCACTATATGTTGATCCCAGGTGTAAGACATGTTTTAATATTCTTCTTCAGTAAAACTATTTTTGTAATAGTGGTATCTGCCTTCAGAAATGTGAACAGAAATGAATGTGTCAAACAAAGCTCGTAGCAAAATGTCTAATTTTGTCAAGTGTCGTCTAGTTTTAAAACGGGGTAGGCTGTGAAAAAAAACTTCTTAATTAATAAGTTGTATTGTGTTTATATTTATGTTACGTATGTAAAGGATTTGAAATAGTGAAATGTCATTCAAAATCCAATATTTGAAAATTTGAAAAAAATATTTCAAGAGTACTTTCTGTTAAAAAACCTAGTTAGCTGACTCTATTAGAGTTAGCTAAAGAAGGATCAATAATTACATGATCAATATATATGATAGCTTTTTAACTTTTAACCTTGAGACCTCCACAAAAGATGTCCGCCGTTTCCATGGTAACTTTGAAGAGTCTTGGATACATGCAACTATTTTCCCTTACGTAGCTAACTTAGATATAAACATATAAACGAAAAATGAATGTTAATTAAGAAGATTTTGTCCCGTTTTCTTTATAGAGCCTACACCCTTAAAAATCGGGAGAAGGGTTAAGATGGATGGGCAAGGGGAGGGGGGGGGGGGACGAGGAGGTTAATCTCTTGAGGAGATCAGGCCTTTGAAGTAAGCGTTATACATCTCCCGCTATAGACAATGTATTATCAACTCATGTATATATTTTCTTATTTCAGTTGTTTATCCTAGCCGTGTTGGCCTTCCTGGAGAAGAGACAGCGACGTGTGGACATCTGTAGGGGTAGACCAGGGCTCATAGTGTAAGCAATTATTGTGAGAATAGTCGGTAGACCAGGACTCATAGTGTAAGCAATTATTGTGAGAATAGTTTGTAGACCAGCGCTCATAGTGTAAGCAATTATTGTGAGAATAGCTTGTTGTCGAGAGCTCTAGTATAAGAAATTATTGAGAGAATAGTTGGTAAACTTTGCTCATAATGTAATCAATTATTGAGAGAATGCTATACGCACAAGAATTAGGTATAAAGAAACTTATCTTATGTACCGATGATGTGGTTAGCAGAATCGGGATAAATGTCTTGTCTCGTGTCGTGTATAGCTGCAGTACTCTGCACATAGTACAGTAAAATTTGAGCTTAAAATTTGCTACAATTATAAAATAAAATGCACTTATGTCTAAACTGTATTTTTACAGGGCTATCCCGTGGCTAGACAGCTATGAGAACCGCTTTGCTTATTCTGTTATCTTTGGTATTGTGTTAGAATTGTTTACTGAACTGTTGAACTTTGTGAACAACGACATACCAAACTACGTGAAAGGCGAGTTTAGGTCTTCTATAAAATATCAAATATCTCAATCATAACTAAATCTACGACAAAGTCTAACCAATGAAATAAAACCTAAGCTATCACCTGACTACCTAGACCTTGTCATATCTCTTCCAGTTCTGTACCTTCAAGCCCAAGCCTTAGAAGTCTGTCTGCTGTGTTTTCCATTCTTTGCCTGCATCTCCAGCACCTACAGGGCGCTTGGTGCCGTCTTGTGTGTCGCCTACTCCATCATTTGGTTAGTAGGAAGGTTTCAGCTATAGAAATACGTTGTTATGATTCTAGTAGAAGCTTTTGTTTGTAAACAATCCTATTATGCTAATTACAGTAATGTGCGTGTGTGCGCGGGGTTGGGGGGGACCATTTGGATGGGAGTGGGAGGGTGATAAGTATTCATCTATTTTTGACGTCCACAATGATTCGGTATTTTAGAACCATCCCCTCCCCCTAGTCGAAACACCTCCATTTGAACGAACTAAGCACAAAAATGCAAAACTCATTTACTCATGCAATGGTTCGTTAAATCAATCGTCCATTTGTTTTATTCGTTCATTCGTTCACTCGTTCATTCGTTCATTCTTTCATTCGTTCATTCGTTCATTCGTTCATTCGTTCATTCGTTCATTCGTTCATTTGTTCATTTGTTCATTCGTTCATTCGTTCATTCGTTCATTCGCTCATTCGCTCATTCGCTCATTCGTTCATTCGTTCATTGGTTTATTCGTTCACTCATTCGTTCATTCGTTCATTCGTTCACTCATTCGTTCATTCGTTCATTCGTTCATTGGTTTATTCGTTCATTTATTCGTTCATTCGTTCACTAATTCGTTCATTCGTTCATTCGTTTATTCGTTCATCATTCGTTCATTCGTTCACTCATTCGTTCATTCGTTCACTCATTCGTTCATTCGTTCATTTGTTCATTCGTTCACTCATTCGTTCATTCGTTCATTCGTTCTTTCGTTAATTCGTTCATTCGTTCACTCATTCGTTCATTCGTTCATTGGTTTATTCGTTCATTTATTCGTTCATTCGTTTATTCGTTCACTCATTCGTTCATTCGTTCACTCATTCGTTCATTCGTTCACTCATTCGTTCATTCGTTCACTTATTCGTTCATTCTTTCATTAGCCTATTTGTTCACTCATTGTTTCATTCGTTCATCCGTTTATTTTTTCATTTATTCGTTGGTTCATTTGATCGTTCATTCGTTCACGCATTCATTCGTTTATTCATATACCACAGGTCATGTGTTTTAATTGGAAATTCCTTAATCCAAGTAAGTCGATTAGATTGTATACAGTTTAAATTGGATGCTATGCTATTTAACTTAAATTAATTGTAGATGCTGCTATTTAAATATTAGTGTGTTTTGTATTTCTAAACATGCCTTGATGTATTAGATGAAAGATGCTGTCTACAACAGAGAAACAGCTATCTTTATTGTAGTTGTTGTATCGCCGTTACTGTGTCACGTGGCTTTGATTGTGTACTGCTTGTACATTGTGTACAGATGTGTACACACAAAAACCTATTACACAAAGGTGGGTAACTATTTCCTTTATGGCATCATTCTAATATACATGTTAGCTTTATATCATCATAATACGACTAATGGAGAAGGAGGGTTCATAGATCTTTGTACCTGACAACCCTGTGACCTTGAAGTTTACCTGTCCATTTTCTACTCGCCAGAGACAATTGGGGGACGCCAAACCCCACCAGATGGCGCACGTGCAGTGGGTGTTACGTAAGTCAAAAGACAAGGCGGTGTTGTGTTATGGGCCAGGAGAAACGTTCGTATCACACATGTAAGTCTAGTCAAGTTAGTGTTATGTTATGGGCCAGGAGAGACGTTCGTATCACACATGTAAGTCTAGTCAAGGTAGTGTTATGTTATGGGCCAGGAGAAACGTTCGTATAACATTTGTAAGTCTAGTCAAGTTAGTGTTATCCCCCGAACTGTCAAGTGTAACTGTTCTGTGGCGTCAGACCATTTTTAGAGTTTTTTGTTTGCTTGATAAAATTGTCACAGTTGTGTATTGAATGAAATCAGAGACCCATACATGTATACATTTTCTGAAAGTATATTGGACAAGGAATCTTTTGATGAACAACTAATATGTTTTTATTATGTGTATGTTGAGAGCGACCTTGACATTTACAGGAACAGTAAAATTTGACTACTCAAACTTCTGTATATTCAATCCAACCTAAATCCACAAAAAAATTTTCAAACATCATAGAAGCTACATTTTTAGATACAAGAAGCTTGGTTAAACCACGAGTTATATTTCTATCTTCTTGCAGGAGAAAAAGTAAACGACTGCGTCTATTTACCAGCCTGCCATTTTTTAAATACCCCACAAAGATCTGCGCAATGGCATTTTTCCAGTTATGTGTTATATATCTGGTACGTCATCTCTCTCTCTCTCTCTCTCTCTCTCTATATATATATATATATATATATATATATATATATATATATATATATATATATATATATATATATATATATATATTTACTTTAAATATATTCATTCGGTGGGGGTTTTATTTTTTTTTGCATATTTTTTCACTGTACACATTGTTTACTTAACATCCGCTAATTTTTTCAATCTTTGATTGTTTTCTCTTTCAGATTACGCTTTACTTAATTAGGATTATAGCGAATGTGGATAAAATGCCTTTGCTAGATTTGCTGTTCCAAATAGAGTTCTTTAAAGACCAGGAAACCGTTATTAAATGTAAGAGTGGAAGCATTTGAATTCTAAAATAAATAATGTTATTTTCTGCACAAATTAACACTTAACTGATGTTTGGTCGATCGGTCACCGCTAGTGCTTAATCTGGCGATCTACCCTTTTGTTATTGAACATTTTAAACTTTAAATTAATTTTTATTGACTCGTTTAATAGATTAAAATGAGATGCTCATGCGTGGTAATTGGAGGCAACGTATCTGGAAAATGGAAATTTAAACGATATAACTGCTTTAAAACGGAGCCAAAATTGAGTTACGAGACTTACCACCAAGCGACATTGTGAATTGAATAAAAGCTAATAAAAACAATATGTGTATGGGTGGTTTAAAATAAAAATTCGAAATAATTAAATCGCAGTCCATTTGCATTAGACAGGAATTATTGAAAAATCGTATAGTTAAGCTAACTAACAATAAAAAATATAATTATCCGGAAATATTGCAATACTTTTTTTTCATATTTAAACAAATCTCTTTTGTTTTTTTTTCTCAAATTGTTAGCATCAATGGCTGTATCTTTAGTAGTAACAGACATAATTACGGTACTACATATCTTTATGACACTTAGGAACTACAGGTAAGCTTGTGTCTTGAGTTTTGTTGATACTTTTATAGACTTGGTCGGGTGTTGGTTGGAGACTATCTTTAGTTTGAGACGTCTGGAAACATTTTTGGAGATTTCTATGGCTTTGAATGGTCGTGTGTTTAAGGATGTTTTTGGCTTAGTTGTCTGAAATTTGTCTGAAACTTTACCAATCTGTATTTTTGCAGATACCACACTCTAAAACTTTACCTAACTGTATTTCTAGTTGTCTGAAACTTTACCTAACTGTATTTCTAGTTGTCTGAAACTTTACCAAACTGTATTTTTGCAGATACTACACTATAGAACTTTACCAAACTGTATTTCTAGTTGTCTGAAACTTTACCAAACTGTATTTTTGCAGATACTACACTATAGAACTTTACCAAACTGTATTTCTAGTTGTCTGAAACTTTACCAAACTGTATTTCTGCAGATACCACACACTAAAACTTTACCAAGGAGAATTTCACAACTTGCAGCAACCCTATAACTCCACAACTAAAGCTCTGGTAGGTTTCTCGTTTATTTATTTTAATATAAGCTTTGAGTTAAATACATTTTACTTTGAGCCATTTGTTTTCGAATAAATTTCAACATTTCAAATATTTCCAACTCTTTCTCAAACCCCTACTTGATACTTGTCTACAACACTTTCTTAAACCAACATGAAACGTGTCTACAACACTTTCTCAAACGTATATGAAACTTGTCTACAACACTTTCTCAAACCTACATGAACGTGTCTACAACACTTTTTCAACCCTACATGAAACTTGTCGACAACACTTTCTCAAACCTACATGAAACTTGTCTGCAACATTTTCTCAACCCTACATGAAACTTGTTTACAACACTTTCTCAAACCTACATGAAACTTGTCTGCAACACTTTCTCAACCCTACATGAAACTTGTCTACAACACTTTCTCAAACATACATGATACTTGTCTACAACACTTTCTCAGACCAACTTGAAACTTGTCTACAGCATCAAAACATGCGTTTTGCTGGCAACCAGCTAGCCTTCATGCTCTGGGGTAAGTCTGTTCTAGTCTTTTCTAAGTCTATTCTAAGTCTATTTTAGTCTATTCCAAGTCAATATTAAGTCTATTCTAGTCTATTCTAAGTTTATTCTATGTCTATTCTACGTCTTATCTAGTCTATTTTAAGTCTATTCTATTTATTATACAAAATACTAGTTTGCTTATTGTTTATGGTTTTTTTATGATACTTACAGATGTGCACGCACACACACACACACATACACACACACACATTTTATACACATGAATGTTTACGTATACATATTTCACAGGAAGGTGTCACACATTGAAGGTCACTGTGTCCGTTTCAAAATTTACTTAACTTTTAATGAAATTCCTTTTAATATTATTCAATTTGTTTACATCGTAAGCTGCTCATAAAGGGCTGAATGTCTGAGGTGTAGACTTGATACTCAAACAACGCCAATTTAAAACTTACCATTATAATACGAGTTTTGCCAAAACTCATACAAAGCAACTGAATTCTCTTTACAAATACACCAAACAAGTCAAAAAATTCCTAAACAAGTGTTGAAATAATTAACACTGTTATTTCTTTATTGTAACGCTCAAACAATATTAAGTTTTAGAAATATTAAAAGTAGAATTTAAGATAGTATAAATATTTTCTCAGGAATGGTTATATTGTTTATCATCTTTTCATTGGGGACATTTGCCATAGCGGAAATTATTTACTTGATAAATACGAATGACCTATGGGCAGAGGCTGCAAAGGATTTTTTCATTGCTATGTGGTAAGAATTCTAAATAAGAATTCTAAGTATGCTAAAATCTAATTATATTCAATATTTAAAAATACAACAAAAAAAAAACGACGATGTTTTATAAGTGTGTGTCATTAGTTACAGATATTTGTTTTACAGCTTCCCATTGACAATGTTGGTGTTGAATTACATCCAACTTTTGATATGTCGATGTTTTTTACTGCAAGAGAAAATCAGTACCACAGACAAACATCCGCCTCTCAATGTCAACAACAGGTAACTCCATCCTAACCTACAGGTACAGGTGTATTGCTACAGGTAACTTCATCCTTTTACAGGTGTATTACGATAGGTAAGTCCACCCTAACCTACAGTTACAGGTGTATTACGACAGGTAACTCCACCCTAACCTACACTTACAGGTGTATTACTACAGGTAACTACACTCTAACCTAAAGTTAAAGGTGTATTGCTACAGGTAACTCCACCCTTTTACAGGTGTATTGCGATAGGTAATTCCACCCTAACCTACAGGTACATGTGTATTACTACAGGTAACTTTACCCTAACCTACATGTACAGGTGTATTACTGCAGGTAACTCCACCCTTTTACAGGTGTATTACTACAGGTAACTCCACCCTAACCTAAAGGTACAGGTGTATTGCGACAGGTAAGTCGACTGTAACCTAGACCAAAGGTGTGGAACACTGTTTTTTTTTACGGGGAAAAGTTCGGTATCGTTCGGAACCTGACGGTCCAGGTAATGCTCCAGATTTAATTCGGGAACAAATAAGAGTTGAAAGGTTTGAATTTTAAAACTAATAAACATTTTACCCAGAACAATTTAAGGAACTCGAGTTCAGATAAATAGGTGAATGTGCATATCAGTCTCTATTTTTGAATATTTAAAAAAATTAAGTTGGCGTTAAATAAACTGTTCAAGTATACACATCAACCAGCGAAGCTATAAGGGAAAGTTGAAATGTTATTCAATGGCGTCACTAGATCGGGTGTTACTCGGTGTGGTAACTTATAGTTTCACCGAACCCGTTTGCTAATTTTCTATTTTTTTTTTGTTTGGTGTCGCCCTCTCCCTTACTATTTTATTATTTCAACAGGATAAGACAGTGTCTTGACAGTACAATTTACGATTTTCTAACATTTGGCGTCAACGCCTAAATGTCATGCCTTGAAAGACTACTAAATCTCTTGAATCCTTTGTTTACAGAAAATGCTACGAGCTGTTCCACTACTACAGCCTGTTTTCAAACTTTGGCATCGGGCTGTTCAGCTGTTTGAGAAGAGTTCTGTGGTCAGCAGCACTGGGTGCCATGTCTATGGGGCGTCTAGACCGGAGCATTTTCCCGAGAGATATGCTCAGCTACGACAGTGGTCAGTTCTATTTCATTTAGAAAGTCTTCTGTCATTTAGACCTGAAAGTCTTGTCATTTAGACATGAAAGTCTTCTGTATTGAGTCTCATTTATTGAAAGATGTTAAGTTAATGGTGACTATTTTCATAATTTTCTTCAGGATACTTGGCGTATGTCTCTATGTTGTATGTAGACAACGCCCACAACAATCCCAGCATGCGTGTCTTCATTCATCTCATCAACGTAAACAGGAGGTCAAGGTCACCAACTTTTGAGATAAGGTACTGGGATCATTGTCTGTGCTACATACAACATCAGATGCAAATATTACTCTTGTTTCTAAGAGACTATTTAAAATGTTTTTTCACACTTTTATTTTACTTTTTTATCCACATTTAAAGTCAGTTACCCCCTGTTCTAGAATCTGATGTTAGTCAGGATGGAGCAACAGTTTGTGGTACTAAATTTTAATTACCTAGTATAATATAATAATCCATACCGCTTTAAGATGTCGTTTTAATTTATTTTATTATATATATTACATTATATTTTTATATATATATATATATATATATATATATATACATATATATATATACACATATATATATATATATATGTAAATATATATATATATATATATATATATATATATATATATATATATATATATATGTATATATATATATATATATATATATATATATATATATATATATATATATATATATATATATATATATATATATATATATAACATGTCTCTATAGACATATCAAGTGTCTCCCTTGAAGAAGACAAAAAAACACGACTAGCCAGGATCAGATGGTTTCTGGCCTACACGCTGTTCCACAACCCCCAGCTGAGAGGGTTAAGGAAAAACAAATTGACAAAATCTCTGCTGGTGACCAATGGACTGACCCGGTACCCTGATACATCGGCTGCTACCAGATATAACTTACAAGATCTGGGTGGGAAAATATCACAAGACAACATGTCTGCTGTCTAGGATGTAAAGCAAAACTGTGACGATGACTGGCTGGAGGATAAACATTTGCAAAAAATTAAAATAAGAATTGTTACATAATTTTTTTTACAAAACTATTCCAATTTTAATTTGTTTTTAATTTTTAAATTTATAGACATAATTTACTTTTTTTAGAAATCCATGATAATGTTATTTTACAACTGTATAAAGCTATGTGGAAGGCGTGGCCTAAGGGCAGCGCTAGACTTTAGTGTCTCAAGTTCGAATCAGGGTTCAAGTCAATAGCACGTCCATGAGCGCACCCAGCACTGATAGATACCCAACTCACGCAGGGGAAAGTAAATGCGGCGGGGAATAGTGCCGATGTCACAGATACAGGTGAACTCTACTTCACTTTCCCCATGGACCGTCAGGTTCGAAAAGTGAATTTTCCTATTTTATACAGCTTCATATTTTGGTTGAAATAAAACTTTTGATACGCCGCATTGTGATGTTCGATGGTTCATGTTTTGCCTACTTTGTAATAATGTGATCGTGAGTAGTTGTATAATTGTGTGTCGCCTTCTAAAGCTTCAACAACGTATATCATGCCATACATTAGCTACAATCGTGTTTTAGACTATTCTAAAAACAAATATCTGTCCTCATCCTTTACCATGTTCCTATGTGTTACTAAACGCCAATCTTTAGAAGTTTGTCAGTCTTAAGGGGGGACCGGTACTTAATTTTTATTTTATTAAAGATCAGCAATTGAACATTGTCTACATAGCTAAAACAAAGATATTGATATGTTTTAAAGATAACATATCTCAAACATGTTGAGAACAAATGTTGAACCCCAAAAAGTTGAGTTTATATGTATTTTTATATGCAATTTTGTATGCTAAAAATCTCAGTACGTATAAGACATAATAATACAAAAAGTAAAAGCCACATTTAGAAATGGTTACAGAACAAACTGATAGAAGGATGTTTAGATTAAACACAAACTTTTTAAAATATGAATTTTTTTCAAAGTCACTTAGAAAAAAAGAGTCTTTGTGGAGAGACATGAACTTTAAACAACCATAAAAATTAAACAAAGAATGGTATCATTAAAAGCTTCTATCAGTTTGCAGAACAACCTATATTGTAAAGACTGTGCAAGTTTCACTGTATTCTGTAAGACAGTTTTTGAGATTTCTTCTTTAGAAAATTTGGAGTAGGCCAAAAAGTGTCAATGGCTATTTTTGTAAAAAATAAAATGTTATCAAAACTAGTCATCTATAAACACTAAAATAAGTATTTCAACACATTTTTTGAGTACAATAGATTAGTTCAAGTCATTGATAGGATGTTAGAGTTGCATTAGACTAATAAATATACATTGGCAAAAAGATAACAAAAATGCGATTTTTAAGTACTGGTCCCCCATTAAGACTGTAGTACGCTGCATACCTACCCTCTGTCCCATAACGCCCAATCTATAATAATGTCCTCTCTAGCAAGTAACTATCTCTTACTAGTCTAAATATCTGGAGTATCTGTCCACGATTGTTAGTATTGCAGCCTTGCTGTTTCTATAAGCTAGTACTCTAAACATTGATACAGAATACTGGGTAGTACAAACACCCTATAATATCTTACATGTCAACATACGGAAAGTAATAATAATACAAACAGTAAAAATAAATGATTCCCCATTACTTTAACTCTAAACAAAGTATAAATGTTGCCAATGAATGGTAAAAAGGTAACAATATGAAAGTGGCCTAAAGTATTCATATAGGGAGAGAAAATAATGGTGTCCATAAATTTACAACATGATTCGGTTGTTAGCAGTATTCGTTTTTTTTTAATGAAGTTTTTATTTTTTACACATAATGCAAAATAACGCAAGTTTTTGAGAATTTTTTTGAAATTTGTTCATAATGAGATACGGCAGGGATTTGTGTAAGGTTTTAGTGTCCTTATCGAGGTGTTGGGGGCCTCAACAATAAAGTGTGCACGGCGGTCACGCATGATTGACCTAAGTTACATAATACATCCGATGTGAGACAGCCGTGTACCGTTGAGATCATTCTTCTGGAACATTCAGGCGAATGAACACACAGGTAGCGGTAAGTTCCAGGACAGATGACAGGTAGCAATAAGGGACATCCCACACAAATCCAGTAAGTTAAAGCTATTTTATAATGAGATCCATCAATCCTATGGGAAGGCGTTGTCTAGAGGTAGAGAGCTAGAAAAGAAAAAATATATCATTTTAAAATCCCCAGATAAATTAAAATGGTATTTTTTTTCTTGTTTCTTAGCTGGGAAAGAAAATATGTTTGTACACTTTTTATATAGCAAATACAATTAATTAAGAATGTGTGCGTAGTAATATATAATATTTTTACTTTTCTTTTTGTTTAGATATGCATTGTTTATCAACATTTAAAATTCAAATTGATTATAAATAATTATTTGTTAACATTTTTCGGGCAAACGACTTTCTGCAGGTGTCCATTCGGATATTTGTCCCATTCGGGCAAGTAACCATTCGGGAAATCGGCCTTCTGGGGCAAACGGCATTCGGCAAACGGCATTCGGAAAACGGCATTCGGCAAACGGCATTCGGAAAACGGCATTCGGCAAACGACATTCGGCAAATGTCTTTCGGGACTTTGTAGTAGACCCAGATAGAACCTACAACCCCCAGGGGTTTGGGGGTCAGTCTCGAGGGTTCGGCGGAGATCAAGACACACACCCGACTCCACTGATTTACGATCGAGTACGATCGAATTTCGTCAGTGCAGACGATAACTTTAATAGAGTTTGGTAAATGTGCATATGAAACTAGCAGAGTTTCTTCCAGGCATCTCTTCGGGGGGGGGGGGCTTTTTGCCCCCCCCCCCCCCCCCCCCCCGAAAAATTTTTACCGCCCGCCCGA